GGGGTTTATTTCTTTAAAGGGTTCAGTCTGCCCGTTGTTTTTGCTCCTTTTCTGAACAGAAACACTCTGCTGTCCCTCTGCCTAGACCATCCAGCCATCATTCATGCCTTTCCCTCTGCACACAGCCCACATCCTTTCTTGCCTTGAAAAGCGTTAAATGCTCTTTTTCCTCCAAAGAACTATTTTTTATTTTTCTTGACAAGGCCTTTTATGCAATTAGCTAGAGATGCCGTGGCCAAAAAGAAAGAATAACACATGTAAAATCATGCCAGAGAACAGAGTAGGTAGTAACTTGTTGAGTCTATTACCAGACAAATGTTTAAATCAATGGTGTCTTCTCATAAATCAATAGCCATATTTAGCCTTAACTATAACCATCCCTCAGCAATGTGGAATAGGGAGAAAAAACTTACCGAAAAAAATGGTGATGCTCTTGAGATGAGGAGGGGAGGAAGCAGCAGATGAGACAAGCACAGCATAGGGTCATCTTCCAGACAAGGAATTTATCCTGTAGGTCAGAATTGATGTGCCACAAGCAGAGAATTCGTCAGGGGCCGCCAATCACGCTGACTCGTACCAACTCTGCTGGTGATTTGGAGATGTTAGGGAACCATTTGAACCCAGCTAAAACTTGGACATTTATGTGGATTGTGGACTGAAACAAAAATTGAGCCCAGAATAGCCAGCATTCTCTGCTACACAATCAGACAGAAGAGCTTGCATGGCAGGCCATAAAAGATCATTCTTTTCCAGTTACACTTGACAGATCTAAGGTATTATAGGAGCAATAAGTTTGGAAAAGGGGAGAACAGTAACAGTGAACCAGAGAACAGAGTGTAACTGGAGAACCAGCCAAAAAATCTCTTCAGAACCTTTTCCTCTTGAGCTGGCAGTGGAAGATTGTCTCTTTTCACTCCCCCATCTTTTTTCATACCCTTACCCTTCCGGCTGAGCTGGTTGGATGCAGATTGAGGGCCCCTTTTCATTCCAATTAGATGGCTTTTCTGTGAAGCTTTTTACCAACCCCATGTGATGCCTCCCTTGACAGGATTTCACTGCTTTCCAGAAAAGTAACAGATTTCTCACGTACCACAGTTTCTAAAGGCCTCTTCTTCAGCAGTGACCTCCACAGTACAGAAACATTTAGTAGTTCTGTTAAAGCAGTGGCTCCAACCCAAAGAAAGGTATTTTGCCTACCGTGAACTCTGGCACTCATCAGTTTGATTTGCAGCATTGCAAGCAAATCTCCCAAACACAAGTTTCCATTCAGCAGCCTGTGAACACACAACAGGGAAAAGGTCATCCCCAGGAACCACCCTCAGCTCCTGGCCTGCAGCCTGGACAGCAGCAGGCTTTGGGGTCCTTATGCTATAAGGGTAACTCGGTGTGCTGAAGTACCCAGGCTACTGCTGAAGCTTGTCTCACAAGGTGGAGGTTTCACAGAGTCATAGAATGGTTTGGGTTGGAAGATCATAAAAATCTTAAAGATCATCCAGTTTCAACCCCCCTGGAGTTCATTCAACCTGGTCTGAACACCTCCATTGATGGAGCCTCCACAACTTTCCTGGGCAACCTGTGCCAGGGTCTGACCACCCTCAGAGTGAACTTCCTAATTTCTAATCCAAGTCTCCCCTCGTCCAATTTGAAGCCATCACCCCTCATCCCATCACTATAAGTCCTTCTCAAAAGTACCTCCCCAAGTTTCTTATAGGCCCCACTTGAAGTCCTGGAAAGCCTCAAGAAGGTCTTCCCAGAGCCTTCTTTTCTGCAGGCTGAACAACCCCAACTCTCTTAGCCTGTCCATGCAGGAGAGGTGTTTCAACCTATGTTTCTAAACCTTCCCTTCCATCTTGCCTTATTTGCTTCTGTGCAGCCACCAAGCCCAGTCCTACCAAGCAGCCATACCTTTTGCAAATTTTGTTTGTTTAGGCAAGTGGTTTTACTAGAACTGCATCCTCCATATGAAATCCAATAGAATTTGTTTCTGCTGCTGCTTGCAGTCTTTAACACGTTGTCAGCACTCCCACTGAAACGATCATGTTTAAAATAAAGAGTTGCTTCTTCCAGCTCTGGCATTTGCACATTTTTATGAGATGCTGAAAAAGCACAACTGGATCCCCCCCCCACCCTGAAACATTGAGAAAATAACAAGTAACAGATTTGTTGAGTTTTGACTTGCCTCAGAACCAGGTGTTTCTGACATGTGCCATGTCTCTCAAGCATATTACACACTTCAATACACTTCTTATCAAGAGCTTAAGCTTTTTACATGCCCCGCTCCCCATCAAGAAGAATTTCAGCCTTTCCTAGCCACCGGTTTATTTTTTGCATAGTGCTCCCATTTCAGCGACAGGTAGAGAAAGCATCAGGGTGTGTGAATTTGTGGGTTATAGATATGGTGACTGGCATGTGAGGAAGTGTCTAGGTACTATAATATTGAAAACAAGTGCTGGGCATATTAGAGGAGACAGACCAAGGGGCTTGTGGTTGTTCCATTCATGCCAAAGAGGTAGAACCAAGGGGGATTTCCACCATAAAGCTCTCCTTTACACCCCCAGCAAAACAAACCCATATGCTGGGCTCGAGTGTGTAGCAATTTCTTACATCACCTAGATTCATTTTCTTTCAGCATTATTGCCTCAGAACTGGCTGTAATTGTGAATACTTCATTGTTTCTAGGAAGTTTCAAAAAGGGAGGACAGTTTAAAATTATTTCAACAGTTATTACTGTAAAGCAAGCTCAAAATCATTCTGTATCTTTGGGAGATCCTGCTAATTCAAGAGCTGTTCAGTCTTCAACATGGGACATGCCTCGTGGGATTCTCTTGAGCCACAGATGACATGTAGCTTATCTGATGGAACGAAGATACAGAAATATCCTTGGCTGTGCATGGAGCGCATGCTGGCTGCTCGTTTTATCCTGGTGTTTTGTCATTAACAACTGTAGAACAAGCTTATACAAAATAGTTTAGCTTCAACTGAATCCAAATTAGCATCTTACGACAAATGCATCAAATGACCCATTGTGATGGCTCCGAGTAGAATGCTGCCAAAAAAGGGAATAGAGAATGAAAATTTCGATTCATCACATTTAAAATGGACTCTTGACCAGGAAGATCAATGACTGCAATTTTCTGTGCAGATTTACAGGCCAGATGAATCCCTGGTTTAACCTCTGAACTCAGAGGGTTTCATAAAGAGAGGAATTTGCCTACAAGGGTCACGCATGTGCGTACTTTCCAGGCATTACAAGATTGAAGTTGCAGTCACTTAACTACAGAAAGGAAAGAGGAAAACCCAAGAGGTCAGATAGGGAAATGAGACTTCAGAATACTGCTCCCTGCCCATCAGGCAGCCATTGATATGCTAAACAATAGTCCACAAAGTCCAGAAGGAAAAAACCAGATGTCCCTGAAGAATTGGCAGACTGAAACACGCCTGCTCTCAGGGCTAGCTGATGACCATGGGAACTCACATTCTGCATTGCCCTCAACCAAAGACCCAGTCCCTGGACAGCTGGGTGGTCAGTAAATGGCTGATGCTTTTCTTCCACTGCCTTCTCCTCACCTCAAGTTATTTTTCAACATAAGTGCTTGCCATAGCTGCCACAAAAGGATGAGGGGAGACATGTCATCATCTTCAGTTATGAGCAGAAGAATCACACTGAAAATGCACGTTATAAACAAACTAGAATCCACTTCCAAATTTCAGAATTTAAATTTCTGCAGCACTCAGATACATTCCTCACACATACCCAAAGGGTAAATATTTCTGTCTCCAAGAGCTGTAAATGATTTAAAAGTGAAAAATGCACAAATACTAAATGTAACACTAATAAATACTGAAAGCTGGCTCAAATACCATATTCAGTGGGTGGTTTATTCCAAACTGATTCTCCACCCGCACTGCATATTGATTTTCCTACCTGGTGTTAGTAAAGTAACAACAGCCTGAATATCAGATTTTAAAGAAATTTGTTACTGTAATCCAGACTTGTAGCAGCATTTAAAACAGCACTGCTTTTAACATAAAATTGAGCTATTTTCTGGCTGTTTTTAAAAAAATGAAACATGATCTAACATTAAACAAACTAGATGATGCAGGGTTTTGAGGCCAAAGACCCATTCTTACTAGATTTTTTAAAAACACACTAACAATGACACCTCTTTGTTCATGCAGATTGGTTTCTGGGAATGTAATGCCCAAAGTTTTCCATCTGTCTGCACACAGAACTAGTAATTGTTGAACATGCACATCAGAGCTTGCAATCACAGATGAATGTTTGTTTCTTTCAGAATTGGCATTACATTAGGGCTAGCTGGGGATCCAAACCCTACACAGGGCACTATAAAAACATAACAGATGCTCTGTTCCAAGGATCTCTAGCTCAAAATTGTAAGTCTACTGCTTAACAGTAGACTAGCAAAGTCCCTTAAGGAACAAGTTGTTCTAAAAAAAAAATGAATCACATGGACCTTTCTGAGCTATTTTCTTCTCAAGGGAAGTTTTGTTTCATTTAGAGGAAACATTACCGTTCTGTTTAAAAGCAGCACAAGAATGTTTCTGAAGTGTCAGAAAACCTTCCTGGTATTAAGAAAAAAAAAAAAACAACCAAACAAAATGTTACTGATACCATCCAGAAAGCTACAAAAGTTAAAGGTGTTGAAGAGCCTTATCAATAATAAATTGCCTTTGGACTATAGTTATTACTTATATCTCTTAATCTCTTCCCAAAAGGTCTAGAAGCAACTTGTGTTACTCTTGCCATCCAGGAGACCTTACCACAAAGCCTCCTATTACCCCCTCACCACCTGATTGTGCAAGTACATTTGTGAGGATGGAGACCCTCACATGGAAACACAAGCTGAATCTGTAGATCAAAACCTCCTTGGTTTAGAGTAGGAGGGGAGAGGGTATGCTTCCCCACCATCTAATGGCTTTCTCCAACAGATGAAAAATTATGGATTTTAATTCCTTTTCCACTTTTCTTTCTCACACAGGCATATCACAGGCAAGTTTCCTGACTATCCTACTGAAAAGGCAGGAGGTTCAAAGGCTATTTTTTCTCAAAAAACTCCAGCAGAGGTACTGTCACTCCTCTAATGAAAAAGGTTAAGGGACTGGGGAAGAAATTTGCACAAAACATGTCTCTATATAGGTATTTCTCATAACAATGGCTTGAAGTGCTCTAGGAACCTTATAATTACAAAGCTTTTTGCTGCAAGTGAAAGCATTGTTTTCTTCCAGACTAAACCACAAAAGTCAAGTACCAAAATGTATTCTTTCAGGCTATGCAGCCACTTGTTTGTGGTGGAAAGTGCTCAGGGAGGCAACTTACACACAGATAAACATCTAAGGGAGCTAAGGGTAAGGGGTCAGCTACAAAGAGTTAAACTCCTGTGCAAAATCCTTGTAGTTAGACTGGTGCCAGCTACTAGTAGGAACATGTATTGCAGTATAAAGAGTCTTGATATAAAAACAGGCCTCCAAAGCTACAGCAGAGACTGAAATTGAAAGAGGAAATTTAGATTAGTTATTAGGAAGAAATTCTTCATTGTGAGGGTGGTGAGATGCTGGCCCAGGTTGCCCAGAGAGGTGGTTGCTGCCCCATCCTTGAAATGTGCCAGCTGAGGTTGGAGGGGGCTCTGAGCAACCTGCAGTAGTTAAAGCTGTCCCTGCTCAGTGCCGGGGGCTTGCATTAAATGATCTTAAAGGTCCTTTCCAACCCAAACCATTTAGTGAAATCTGTCCCAGTGTGCTTGCATTCAGTACCAGCACAGCCTAGCAATAATTATTTTAGTTTAAGCAGAGAAGAGTTTCTTATCCAGGCAGGCCTAAGCCTTGATTTACTGCCAAGGATCATTAAGCAAGCTTGAACATCCAAGTGAAGGAAATAGCTTAGCTTATCTTATGTATTCCTGTAGTGAACTCAATTGTTTTTCCTGGTAAAACCCCTCTTTTTCTGCCTTCTCTGGGTGATAGAAGAGGCTGATAGTCTCTTCCTCTGATCATCTGGGTGTCACACAGAGACCAGTTGAGACAGTGAAGGCAGCGATCAGCACTAGGAGCCACTTCCACCCAACACAATGATCTTAGCGTGGATGATGAGTCAGTTGAGAAAAATTATAAACAGGAAAAAGCCCTGCACACAGGAGCAGGATTTGGCCCCTGAGTGAACAAGGCGTGGTGGCTACTAGCGAGCTTGGAAAACTAAAGGGTCAAACCCTGACCTTGGTGGTCCTTAAAGCTCCCCTGCTGAGATGCACTGTTGTGTTCATCGGCTGCCTGCAACTGATGGTCTAACACAGGTATGGTAAAATAATATTCTGGATTCAGTCCTTCCTGGAATCAGAGGGAAAAGCCTGGGGGGATACTTTGTGGTCTCTGTGTGGTTTGAGGGGCTGTAAATACAGACCAGCCCAGCATAAAGCACAATACTCTAACCATTAGTTACTTCACTTACAGAAATAGACAAGAAAACTGCTAGAAACGGCTCTCTGTGCCTCACTAAAACTTGAGCTCAGGGCATGCTCCTGGTTTTAGCCAAGTTCAAAGTACACTCAGGTCAATCCTGCTGGCCCCTATATCTAAACTGCTCTGTGGGTCAGTCTCAGAGTGAAGGAGACCCGTCAGTTATGTTTTCAGCTTCTAAAGCAGAAACACATGCCAGAGTCAAGAAGGCTTTGTTGGCTGTACTGAGCAGCAGGGGAGCCACCCAGACAGGGTGGCTTGTTGCTGGAGACAGCTTTAGGGAACGTGATGCTAAATAGACCTGCTACCAGCAGGGATAAACACAACTCAAAGTAAATGTTACAAGAAGTTATGTGAGCAAAACCGGATGTGGCAGTGCATTCTGGAGAAATCTGTTCTTCCCGTCCTATTCCCAGCTTTGAATTCCCACCTTCAGCTATTTTGCTGTCTTTCCTGGGCGTCTGATTTCTCTTTGCTTAAAAAAATAAGGAAGACAAAAGTCTAGAGAGATTGTTTTACTGCCTGTTTTTTTTCCTGCATAAAAGAAAAATACCTGGGAAAAAATACCCGGGAAAAAATACCCTGCATCTATTTTCCCGTGAAGTTTTCACTAGCAATTATCTGATTTTCAAAGACTTTTGGATCCATTTTTATTTCTTTTTTAACCAGCACAAAGGAGAGCAGAATGTATGTCATATAACAAATATCTAGAGTGCAGTTGCCAAAAGAAGGTTTGGTACGATCATGATTTTCCCTGAAAGTCAGACAAGTAAAACATTTTTTTTTTCAACTGAGTTAGCTGCATATTAAAAATCCCTAAGGCAACTGGGTTTGTTCCACACTGGTCTACTGGGCAATGTAGTAAATGAAATCCTGGCCCCATTGAAGTTAATGGGGGTTTTGTCCTTGACTTCAGGGGAGACAAGATTTCGCCTCTTGTATATATTAGCTTCTGTGAACGGGTTGGTTACTCTCAAGTTAAACTCCATGAAAAATCAAGTCTGAACTGTATTTAAAAAGTGAGCATTTTATAAGACTTGGGTAAAGACACTTTGGGGAAAATAAAATACAAATTAATCACTTCACGAACCATTGCTGCATTATTATACATTCTATATTTCTTTATCCTTTGACAATTCTGACCTTCCTTGACTTTGCAATGCAGCTGGCTGCCTGCACAAACTGCCTTCGTGACATTTTACAAATACCTTTCAAAACGATAAGCCAAAGAGATCCCAATGCAAAGTTCTTTATGCCTTAGTCAGTAAAGCACGTACGGTCTCCGCACTGAAAAGGAGCTTTTCTCCACTTTACATACTCTTCAAGTGAAATTTAAGATTCTAAGACTGTTGTTTCCCTGCATCTGTTCCAGATGTCTATCCCTAATGGTTTTCTGTGTTTTGCTCCAAAGACAATCATCAAATGTGATGATTTTTAGCTTTGCCCTTATATTGCTGCCAACAAAAGTGTGATCTCTTCCTGTAGTTTAAGTCTCATCAGCAGAAAAATAATCCAGGAGAGTTACCATTTAGCAGACACATTACCCCTCTCCCAGCTCCTCCTCATTTCCATTATTAAGTAACTTATCAGGAAAAAAAAACGGCTAGTTACCTAGATTTTGGTTGTACATTCAATTGCTGAATAGAAGGCAAAGTCATTTCCACGCTACTGTTATCACAGTATCTGATCCAGCAGCATCTAGAGAATGGGTGAGAAAAAGTACATGTTAGCTGCTGTGCAAACGTAGGCTCCTGGTCCTTGCTTCACACCCCATGCAATATTATACTGCTGAGGAGTAGTATTACCAACAGCTAAAGATACCCATGAATCCTATTTTGATTTTGATCATGAACAGCAATGCAAGAGATCTCCAGTAGTTAATATTTAATTGACATGCCTGCCTATTTCTCAGGTAGGGGCAGTAAAATGCTATTATGCAATCATAGAATCATTTTGGTTGGATGAAACCTTTAAGATCGAGTCCAACCTCCCAGGTCCCTCAGCACCACATTTCTATGGCTTGGAAACCCCTCCAGGGATGGGGACTCCACCACTGCTCTGGGCAGCCTGGGACAGCCCTGGACAACCCTTGTGGGGAAGACATTTTTCCTAATACCCAACCTAAACCTCCCCAGCACATCAAATACTGCAATATTCCCACATAAATATAGTACCTTACTTCTGCCAGATTAGTGTATAGCAAACAGCTTGAAAGCATCAGAGAAGCACTCAAGAGGTTCTGTGGAGTTGTTCTTTTTTTGTGTCCAGCATTTCACAAATACACTTTTATCCTGACAGCAAATACAGCCAGCATATTTTCAGTAACAGAAGTAGATGCCTACAGTTATGCTCACCTTTATTTCCTCTGTTCCACGCTATTCTGGATTCATCTTTTAGGAATTATCAGGTTGGATTTTCACATGTGTCATCAGCTGGAGCAATATCTGCCAGATGGCAAAAGGCCAGAGCATGTATCAGACTGAAATGCATGTTAAAGCTAAATGTAAGATTTTGCAATATCCCATAAAGCTAGGAAATGTAATCCAACATTTTCAATTAATTCCTGCAAGAAGCAGATCACTGGGGTTGTTTTTAACAGTGTAAGCGCTGCTTGCAGGTTCGCACCCAAAAGTAAGCAGTGCTCAGAAATGCTCTGCCAGGAGAACACTACATGATTAAATCTACAAATGGCTTTGGTGTAAGAGGGAACAAATCCAGAACACCAGCCTCAGCTAACTAGATGGGGCAGAGTCCCAAACCCACTGTGATGAAAATAACATCGCCAAAGGAAAAAAAAAATTATATATATATAAATATACATATATATATATCAATCACCTTACAGGAATAACCACCTTATAGAAAAAGCTGTGATTAAGTGTTCTCAAGCTCAGGAAGCAGGATGGGGAACACCTTTACAGAACTGCATGTTATGTACAAGTGATGCAAGTGGGCAGTCCCATATTTGGCACGCTACTCTGGGACTTGGGGATGGCTCCTTTTCCCATCTAAAATAGTCTTATTTGAAGTAACATTTTTTTTTGGTCTTAGATTTCAAAATAGCTTCATTCTCTAGAGTTAATACTCAAAGAGAGTACATTTTCTTTTCAGGAACACTAGGCTGTGTGCCTATAAAGTGTTTCTGTTCTAAATGGTGTTAGAGACAGAATTACAAGGTGCTGAGACTGTCTGGAGATCTAGAATTCCCAAACTTGCTCTCTATCCCTGCATTTCATTTATGCCCACCCCACTAATAACGACAAGAAGTTCAAGTAAGGTCTTCTTTCAAGGGGTGAGGGAAAGGTTTATTCTTGAGGAAGAACATTACCTCAAGTATCAGCTTGCCTGAGCCAACACCAAGCTTTCTACGACTGAGGACAGCAGAACGCAAGTGGCAGCTGGGGATTTTCACATACTTGGCCCATAGAAACCATCAGGCATTTCCATTTGTAGGCTGCAGCCTGTTTTACTGTCCCTCTCTTTTCCAAAGAAGAGATTTGCACTGCATGAGTTTGGAAGCATACTTGAACTGACATACAAGTAGAAAAGTCTATTCAGCCTTTGTGGGATACCGATTTAGATGAAAACGTCTTTTCAGTCTCAGAAGATGTTACCAGAGAACAGTCATCACCAGCACAACAGGAGTTCTGCACATCAAGACCAGGCTAAAATGCATCTGCTCATATTGATGCACATCCTTTCCTCAATATTAAGAGTTTCCTAGGTACTTTCAGCATCATTTCAAAAAGAGGCAATCTAGAAAAGAAAAGGGCAGTCAAATAACTTAGGAAGATATCTGCTTTTATTTCCACAATTAAGATTTCCTGGGGAGGGGGAAAAGTTGTATTATAATGTGGGTGAATTGGTTAGTGTATCAAACTAACCTTTGCTTGCTCTTCCTTTTCTTTCCTCCTCTTCTGTCAGAGTCTTCAGGCATCTTCTGGTAGCTGGAGTAGAAATTGTCCTATAGAGAAAAGTACAAGCCATTCAAGGTTAGGTACACAGCCAGCTTCACCACAGCTCCCTGTTGTCTGTAATTAGAGCTGCTTGGGGCAGAGCTGAAAGCAGAGCTGGAGAAGCTGCACCAAAGGAGTATAGAGGAGAAGGTGTAGCTGGCAGGGAAAAGGAAAAATCCTATTTACTCTGTCATGCTCCTTTGGAAGGCAGAAAGCCACTTCAGAAAAGTCAGGCTCCACATGCTGACAGCATTGCCAGCTGCACTGCTTTGGAGCATCTCACCAAACCATCTTGGCATCTCAGCCTACGTATATGTTGCTGAGGCATCCAGGAGAGTGACTATACAGGTGTTGTTTGGATGCACACAACATGCATGGACCCCTGGCCAGGTACTAATGTTACAGTAGAGGATACAGTTTGAGTAACAATGTTGGTTTTGGATACAACAGGCCTGCTGTGACACTAAAAACCTGTTTTGAACTCTAGGCAATCTAATCTGTCCCAGGAAATGAAATGCTTCACTGCTTATCACCGCAAGATACGACTGAACAGTGCTCAGGGTTTAGATTACCATATTTAATTAAAAGTAAGATACTGAAATGCTTGGGGAAATCCACTAATGAAATTTCACTGGCTGCAAACCATAGCCCTTGTCATTGTCCCCTTTCACTGTCCAATCTTCAATACATTAAAAGGCATTCTTTAGAAAACAAATATTTTTGCTGTTACAGGAAACATGTCTTACAACTGGCAATGTTTTATTTTCTCCTCCTTTATGGTACTGCCAATATTAATGGCCCATTAATAAATTTCAGCTGCCACACATTTTCTGGTTTACACTCACCAGTAAATTATCTTAGAATTCTTCTGGGGGACAAGAGAACACAATGAAAGACAAGAGGATGGTAGAAAGAGCAAATTTCATCCTCTCCTTTTTTCAGACAATGAAGTATAAATGGCCAGGAACTAAAGTTATGGAAATTGAGGTAGCTGTACCCAGTTATCAGCTCGCAGGGATAAAGATGCTGAGCTGTGTGTATCTGTCAGAGCTTGTCCCAATATCTCTATTGAACAATTTCACTCTTTAGCCACATATTGAACTGAGACATGCTTCAGGGCAAGCTCTCAAAAACCCATCTCTATAAAATCAATCTGCCTTGGAAACACTAGGACAGAATCACAATCTGAGACCAAGTCCAGGGGGAACTTTAAGTTGTATGTCATTAGAATATTGTGCTTCTGGGTGGTTTCAGGAATTGGTCTTGCTCCATAAAAGCCTTCATGGTTTGGGACAGAAAACGTCTCTTTTCCAATGGCATACTGGGATAGTCAGTAGTGGTACTGGAAGAAAACACAGCGGTTCATAACTCTTACCACACAGGTCTAACACACCTTGCATGTGGTGGAAATATTTGACCAGCTCTTCACATACCTTTCAATCTTTTTCAGATCGTTAAGGAACTGGCTGAGAAAGAGAAGGCAGCTTTGGAGAAAAAAGCTCAAAAGGGGAAAAAAGACGACAGAGGGAAGGAAAAAATGAAAGGAAAGACACCACAGAAAACTGAGAAAAAAGTAAGGCTTCCTGGAGTAAAACCATTTGGCAGCTTGTGGAAACAGCCGAAGCCCAGCCTATGCAGCCACACGTGGGCAGAGGCTATTAGTTTACATTAGAGTGGTCACCACGAATTTGGGCTTGGGTTCAGAAGACCCAGGGACTGCCTGAGGACGGTCCCTCTCAGCCTCTCCATCGCCTTGACGGTTCTGAGGAACGGAATTTTACCTCTCATTTTAGGACTAACCACTTGCGTAGCCATGACTCAGGTCACCAGGAAGAACTGATGTAGCTGCAAAAAGGGAAAAACTACGCTTTGTGGTGTTGACATTGTTGCCAAGACAATGCGCATGCACTTCTCAAAGCACTGTTGCTTTTTGTGTGTGTGCAGATAACTAAGCATTTCCAGTTTTAATGTGGGGTACAGAGAACTCAGTCACCGCCACCCCTTGACACAAGAACTAGGAAATCAGAACTTCAGCCTCACTCAGATGCCCACCTCAGAGCTTATGTGGATTCTAAACTAATTTATAAGTACAATTCTGCATTGCCTAGCTGTGTCCTTTGTAAGCCTGGAAATAGCAGTCATGTACTTTCAGTCCACATTCTCAGGGTCTGAAGTCTTGCTTCAAGTCACAGTGGACATCACTTAATATGATACACTCCCTGAGATCTTTGCTATGCTAAGAGCTGATAGGCTTCAAAATTATTTCAGGAGCAACTTCAGTGAGGAAAACACCTGTGAAACAGACCAAAGGGCATCTTCTAAAGCAAGCTATGCACCAGAAATTGTAGGCTTCTGCTAAGCCGCAAGTTTTGTTTCTCATTTACTTTATCATATAAACAAAGTTGAAACAATATTTTTTTAAACAAGGGCCATTAATCTCTTACCAAGTATGTGGAGAAGAAGGGTGAGGTTTCTGTGGTAAAGATTACTCTTCATTGCAAGTTTTACACAAATTAATTTTAAGTCCTATCCCTAGAATAGCCATATAATAAAAATTTGATGCTTTTCTTGGACACCATCCATTAGTCTGGCCAAAGCTCTCATAACATCTAGCCAGGAATCTTAACTGCATGAACTTCAGAAGCATCGGTCTAATTGGGGGGGTAGATATCTGCTAGGAAAGATAGTTTCTGCTCCTGTGCAAACAGGAATTTAAGTTCTAGTCACATGTCTTCAGACATCTGTTTGCCATCAGGGTGATGCTACCACAGGGCACACTATCACAGCGTTAGTGAAGGCACCACGCTGCAAGCAGTGGAAGGTGACTACTGGTACTGCTTCAGTGGCAGAGCAGATACAACCTGAGGGAGCAACAGAGGAGAAAGGAGGGTAATGCCTGTAGACCTCAGCCATATACTACTGATACCAAATTGTTTGATGTCCATAAGACTTCTGGTAACTTGTATTCGTGGTCTGTAGGACCACTGCATGCCCTGACCCCTTAAAATCAGCACATGCACTGAAGAACTCAGTGGGAAAGATCAGATAACAGTACATGTATGAAGGCAATTGCTTTAAAAAGCTTTTAAAATTAGAGACTTTAAAGAGCATTGTCATCCACACTCATAGAACCTTGTAGCATCTCAGAAAGACCAGTCCCTGTCGGGAGGAGTCATGAGGATGCCCTCTAATGCCCTTGTCCTTGGCACCTTCCAAACTCAGCTGTCCCAGAACAAAGTCCTGTGATGCTTCTGGTCTCACACAGGCAGTGAAAAAAGCTGTTCCAGACACTTCAGTCTAAGTCAAAAAGAGATGTTAATGTTCAAGCACACTAAAAACGCTAAACCAAACCCAGGCTTCTGAAACTGGGTGGCAACTCACTCATCTGCTTAAAAACCTGACTTTCGCAGGAATAAACTTAATTCCTTGTTGGGTTTGAGCATTTCACTAGATAAGAAACAACAATACCAAAAATGAATCTCAGTCCCCTCAGAGTCTCTACAAGGTTGTTTTGAAATGGGATAAAGTAACAGCACGGGGGTCTAGGGCTTTATAACTTCATGTCGCTCTCATCTCTTCAGCCATCACAAGTCCTGTCAAGTAAAATTCTGAGCCATTATATCAGGTTCTCTATGGTTCATTGAGAAAGAACAAAGGAAACATTCTCTCCAAGGTTATAGTACTGACAGGGAAAGAAAATAGTATCTAAGACCAGCTGAGAAGTATTTGGAAAAGTTTTAACAGCAGGACTCTTATTAAAATAAGTATGGGCTATAAGTCATAGTGATGCAGGCAGAAAAAAGCCCTGCTCCTAACTTTTGTTCTTAAAGCAAACAAGAGTTTGATCCCAGAAGGAAATTTAAATATTTCTGAAAAGCCTGATAGCAATCTTTAAAAAAGCATATTTAATATCAAAGTAACTTCATTTTCTTTTCTCTGTAAGATGCCGATTTGATTTCTCATTGGGCACAGAAGGGGAAAAAACCCCACACCTTCAGCACCACAGGATCCTTCTTTTCAATAGCAGAAAACACTTTAGCCCAGTCTGAGCTGCTTCACCCAGTAAGACCCAGCCTGTCTCACCGAACGTGAGCAAGGCTGTGCATCTCTAGATTTCACCCAGAAATATTTTACAGCAAAACACATCTTGTTCTTGGTGAAACCCAATAGCAAAATAGCACAGGACTGCAGAACTGCAAAATGCTTGAGGTTAGAAAGGACCTCCGAAGGTCATCTGGTCCAACCCCCTGCTCAGGTAGTGCCACCTAGAGCCAACTGCCCAGGACTATGTCAGATTGCTTTTGAATATCTCCAGGGAAGGAGTCTTCATAATCTCTCTTGGGCTTCAATATTTAAGACCCCTGAAACAAGGAACTGGCTAGAAAAGCTTTTAAGGTGCTTCTTTGTATTACGCGGACTTTTAATGCTGTTAATAGAGGCAAGAGTGAATCCAGAGCAGCATTGTGCCACTGGCCTGTAGACACACAGTTTCATGGATTTTCATCAAAACCACTGACAACAATATTATTTACATCACTATGTAGAATCATTATAGCTAGTAATTAAAAATATATATTGGCTTATTTGTAACAATAAAAGAAACATTAATGTGTCTGTCCTGTGCTATTAAAAGGCTAAAAATTAATAATCCAGTTTTAGGCTGTTTTGGAAAGGAATGTTATTTTTAATAGTTAGCAATTTTCAGTATTTCCTCTTAGAACATCATGTTTTAATCATCTTCTTTAAAATATCATGGAAAACATGTTAAAGGAACAGATTCCACTTACTGCAAAAGACCCACGGATCAATCTCAAAATGCCATCCCTGCAAATGCTGAGAACACATTAGAGCAACTGGGAATTTCAGCTCTGGATGTCAAACCCTCAAATGCTTGCTGATACTTTACCCAAATGGTTCTCGATGTGTAGTCAAAAAGCTCCTAAATCTCTTTCAAATACATCTATAGAGCATAGAGCAGAAGTGATGAATGTATTTAAGTTTTGCCTGTCCTTCTGGGCCCAAACTTTAATTACTGTAATAATGTTTTAATTAAAAACAGATACTTAATAATTCACATGACCTGGCTGCAAATGTATCTGCTGATAGCAGGTATACAATGGCACCTAATTCCAGAGGCAAACTTAGGGGGTTTGTTTAATTTTGCTTACTCCAAGAGCTATACTTCGTGTCTTGCTGATAACCGATGGGTTACAGGCTACACGTGGGTTAGCATGGTCTGATACAACCCGTGTTGCCTTGCATAAATCCACATTCACCCCCTCCCCCAACTGCCATCTCATTTCCCACGATTACCATACAACATTTTGAGGACTTATGATTGGTACAATAGGAAGAAGTTTTCATCATTTGCTGACTTGTTTTTCCATCAGAAATACTGGATCAGTGACATCAAACAATTTTAAGAACATGTTAATGTTGTTTACTTTACAGAGGAAAAATATCAAAATGTTTTGATCAAGTTGAAACAAAAATACTGTGTTTTGCAAGATACACCAAAATCACTATTTTGCTTTCTGATTACAGATTAAAATGAGGTTCCAACAGTTCTGAATTACCCACAAACTGGGAATTTCTTTTCAGAGATGGGGGGGTGCGGGGGGGCAAATAACAACAGCATTAGCAGAAAAAAACAGCAGAGTAATTTCATTTATGTGTCGTAAGCCTCCTACCTATGTTTCATGTTCAAACGAGCCTTGATTAATTCTTGTGCCCTCAGCAGATCAACTGATGAAGTGACACAACACACCACCACCCCTTCCTTCCTTATAGCTTCATTGGGAGATTTTTGTTGATGAACCAACAGCATCTTATTCTGCAAATGAAAACATATCTTTAAAAATCCAATTAATATTATGACATCTTGTCCTACTTGCCAAGTTACTACACCTTAATATTCTGATTTTTCTTTTCACCCTACAGCCCTCCCCAGGCCAAGAGGAAGGATGGAAAATGTCTCCTAGTAATTTCCTTTCAATAATGGAGGAAGGAAGCCGTCAATACAAAGGTCAGTAGAAAAAGATAACAATTACAGCTGGAATGTTCTTCTAATTCAGTATAATCTGAATGTCATTTCTGTAAGGTCAGAAAGTGCAACCGCCCAAACTACGCAACATTATAAAAATGAGGACATTAGATAAAAATGGTACTTAGGAAGGGAGTCAGTACCTCAACTCGTCTTAGGAACCTCTCAAAACCATCAAGATAATCATAAAGGAAGATACAATTCTATATGAAATAAAGTGGCCAAGCTAGAACCAAAGTGCTTTGATGTTCACGCAGGGGCTTTCTTGGATTTTCTGAGGGCAACAAAATGACAACCCAATAGGAGATAGTCCAAAAGCACTATTCTGTAGATCAAGCTTCAGCATCGATGTTTTCACACTCCTGTAACTCTTTGTCCTGTCTTCCTCTCACTCATGGGAAGTGGCTGTGGTTTTGTTCACCTACAAAGTCTACAGCTTGTCAGATTATTTTTTATTATATATTTTAATGAAAGGATGATCTTGTCAAGCAAAGGCACAAAAATGCTGCTGGACTACAAATATACTTGCTTCATTCAAAATGTGAGCAGCCTAAAAAACTCATACTCATAGCTATAAGACTGGCTGTTTCACTCTGAGAAAACTTCCAAAAGTAGGGGTTTTCAAATTTCAAATTTGGTTTTATGTGGAAAACCTAAAAAATCTTCATTATTCCATCCTGCTGACAAATTATTGGCATCAAGTTCTCTGCCCAGTTTGGGCTGGCTGAAGAGAAAGAAGTGTATAACTTACTTTCTAAATACACACCAGCACAGTTTTACCTGACCTTTGACTTCTAAGAATTAGGTTTTTCTTACACGTTACAAATCACAAAGCAGTTTTATGGCTAAAGAGGAATTCACCCAGACTCTACTCTCCAATGCTACATCAGGAGCCCCACTGAAGTCAGCAGGAGTTTTAGAGAAGGATCAGATTCATCTGTGCTTCTTTCCTTTACTGGCCAAGAACATGACTCGTGCTTTTCTAGGTACTCAGGACAAACAGTACCTTGCAACTGGAGACCAGCAATAGCAAGACCAGTGTTTGCCAGCCAGCCAGCCCCACGAGCAATAACGGACCAGTGTAGAGGCCCTGCCTGCCGTGAAATGCCAACAAGAGAGCAGGAGGGTTTCACATTCCTACGTCGGCTTGGCAATAAGCACACCCAAGCACTCTGCTAGCAAGCAGATGTAGTAGCTGTGCTTTCCAGTGCTCCCACAGTACTGCCCAGATCCCCTGCTGAGGCTTTGCTGTCTAACAGGCTTCAGTACAATGCTGAACTAAAAACTCACAAACTCCTTGTGTTTGCGCAAGTAACTCTCCTCCAGGTTGCAGAAAACTTGTTTGTCTGGAGGCCAGGTCTACTGTGCCATGGATGCCAGCGTCAGCAAAACAAATGCCACAAAGGTCAACAGGCCAGTTTAATAGCTGCAAAATTTGCAAGTCTCTAGTCCTACCTGCAGTAATAACAAGTGAGGGGGTTTATGAGACGTTGGGGGACAGTGTTGTCAGCCAAACTGTATTGCAACACCAGTGCTGCCATTCCTCACCAGACGCTTGCTTTCATCCCCACTAGTGTATAATGTGTTGGGGTTACTCATGCTAACCTTTTGCATGAAGATGAGAGCTGAATTGGGGGCATTGGTTTCCCCCCATCACACAAAGCCTCCCAAGGACAACTCGGCAGCCTATTAAATGTCTCTGGAGCCTGTGTTCTTATTCAGGCATGTGAAGTGGATGCCTACAGCCAGTCAGGGTGAGCACCACCATCTCCCCATTATGTACTGGCAGCACTTGCAGGTAGCCTGCAATAATGTGCTCAGGCAGGTCAGGCACAGGCAGCATCCTTTTGTGGAAGATAAAGACTCCAGTCTGCCATTCAGAGTTAAACACCAATGCTCATCTCCAGCCCATCCTGCCAGAGCTGAGAGCTACTCCCCTAGCTCCAAAGGCACATAAGAAGGAATTTTCCGCACAGAGCACAACCAGAAATCCTCAGAGTGGAAAGAGCTCTCTTGCAAGCTTCAAAGAATAGCTGCAGTTCTGTCTTATGCACAGTAAGAGTCTGTAGCTGTTCAGTTAAACTTCAGGTGTTGGATTTTTACCCCCCAGTGAACCAAGTCTATTTGACCCCATATTTATTTTTAGTGAACAGCTGTTAATTCCTCCATGCAGCGGTTCCCACAAGCACTTCGTGCTTTTTACTGCAGGACACGCTATCACAGTACTACTTGGTAGTTGGTCAGAACAAATTTCCTTTTAATCTGGTCATGGATAAAGTTCCTTTTTTCAAGGCCTCCAAAATCAAATCAAGAACAGCTTTACCAGAACAATGGAAGCAGTTTCTTGTATTTTTAATTTTATCCTGCTTTTATTTCAGTGGCTGAATTGTTCAGGAGAAAAAGAAAAAAAAAGTGGTTTGAAGTTGGTCTTTCTACACTGGGAACTTTTTTCTGCTCTAATGTAGAAATACCTCTGTCACTATCACAACTTTCACACAAGTTCAAATTTATTAGTGCATAAATGTTGAAAACATCATTGAAGTAAAGGAACTTGATTAAGAAAGGTTTAGAGGTGCCTACAATGGAATCATTGAAGGACCCTTAGGAGTGTGGCTAAAGTTTACCTGACAGCTGACCAAACAAACGTTTTTGTTTATTCTCACACACACCTCTCAACACATACAGTTAAGAAAGTCTTCCCACTCCCTGAAACTGATTGGCTTGTTACTAAAAATAATTAAAGTATTACTTAAAATGCTACTTAGAACTTTGTGAAAACTCATCCACATATTTTTTAATATTTAAACATTTAAGTTACAGACATTCCCATCTCATTTTATATTTTTTTTCCCCACTCCTCTACCAAGCTAGAACTACCACCTAAACCTCACTGGAATTTAAGACGACTTACTCTTTTAGAGCTGTATTGGGCAGCCTTGCTAGTTGCTAAACTACATTTGCTAATCTCTACAACACTTACTTTATATACTATTGTTGGAAAGAGCCCATTTCTGTGCAACATCTACTTTTACACTGGAATATAGCAAGAGTTTATGTGGGACAAACTGAAGCAATTTGATTCATTACCTCTGCCTTTGTTTTTGCAGCACCTTGTGCTGTGAGGCAGCAATGTGCTATTCCCCCCCTCATACAGTTAATATTTATGACTTGCTTGGTGTTGCAGAGGATATTTGAGTTCAGCCCAAATACTCCAAGGCCCAAACTGTACAGTGTGGTGATTTTTTTAACCAGGCCTTAGTAGATTCAAGTTCTTGAAAGGAGGTTGAAAGTAGTCATTTCAAGAAGAGCTGGGTTGGGTGTTTCAGAGAAATTGAAATAAGTGAAATATTTCAATTATTAGCCACAAGCTTTCCTCTGAAATTCACGGATGTTGACATTACTGAATTACAGTCTGCAGAGTGAAAACTAATGAGATGGTTATGTTAGTCACCTTGGTGGTCTGGCCTGTCTTGAGTCCTGAGCTAGAGAGGCATACATATAAAATAATCCAAAGATAAGCACGCACTATATTAGAAGAGGTGATAAAAATTGCACTGCATACACACACATCCAAAAATAGCTCCTGTCACTGAATGACCCCATCTGTAACAAAATACCAGGCTCTTCTGATCAGCCAGTGGAAACATAACATCCTTAGCTTCCTGACCCTCCTTTAAAAATATCTTTGAAACATTTTGTTGATCTATAAAAGAACAACATAGCATCTAACACCTATGAGTTTTTGATCTCTTTTCTAAAATTAGGGACCTCTAACCTAGTGGCTAACACAGCACTCAAAAAAGTTATTGCCAGGTAGTGTCAGAGGCAGCTGCCTAATCTGAGGAGACTGTCACTGGCTTGCCCGCAGTGGCTATTAACTACTAATCAATTTACAAAAGGACAACAAACAATTATGAGGGAAAAAAAAATTATAAGGGGAAAAAAAAAAAGACACACAATAAAAATCTATGGATCCCTCTCTGACAAAATAAATATCTAAAACCTAGTACTCCTGTGAAAACAGTGTTTGCAACCTGTTGACCCAGTCAGGAAAGTGTTTAAAAATTCACAAAAGTTCCATGTAACACCCACTTTTCATACCCACTTTCCCCAGGGGTGAAATTCCAGGCTGGCAAACCCTGGAGAAGGTACCTTTTAGCTAGGGCAATTCAACTTTCCCTCCTGAAATATTACATGACATCTGTCATACCATCTGATGACCCACAAGTAATTTAAACAAATCAATTTCTATACCTTTGAGTTTCTTTCCTCATTACAAAAAAAAAAAATCCACTGTCCTCCATCTCTACCATTTTTAGTTATGAAATTAAGACTACTCGCCTGCAAAAACTATTCCCTAAGTGCAAATCCACAAATACTTTGCACATAATTGAGCTCTGAAAATGTGTAGAGGGTGGAAACAGCAGCTGGTGTCATATTAACTGGACTGAAACTTGAATGATCTCCTGTGGGTATTATGAAAACCTTCCTGAATTTGCAGTGCCTTGGAAATGGGAGTGGGTACAGGGAAGAGTTCCCTGTACAAAACAGATTTGTAGAGGATTTTGTCTTGAAGAGGAAAGCTGTCATTTGAAATCATCTGGAAACTGAACTAGCACTTGCTGATAGAGATCAGCTGCTGTTTGTGATACTATCAGGGGTTGAAATACAAGAAAATGCAAGATATGAATTGTCTTCCTTCCACTTAGCTCAAAAAAATGTAGAGAGAAGAGTTTCCATTAAAAAAGTACCTTTTGCTAATAACAGAGAATTTATGTATGCACTGAGCTTACCAGACCTCATTTAGGTTTTTTTTCCTGAAAAACAAATTGCAGTTTGCCTCAGCAAAAATAAAGAGCTGTACCTCAAGATCATAAGCTGCTTTATCATTATCATAGACTCTGTGTGTGGGTGGTGTTTGGTCATCAGTTTGCACAAGCTTGCTTTATTCCCGAGGTTAGTTCTCCTTATTACTTATCCTCTGCACAACACTAAAAAAAATAGAGGTGCCGTATCAGGTGGGCCTTGTCTCATCTCCAAAAAACAATGTTTCAGCCTTATGAATTATTTCAAAGGCTAACACACAAAATTGCAGCACCTTTACCTTGGGATTAAATACCAGGAGCAGGAAAAAACAAAGAAACTTCCTGATTTAATTTAAACACCTTCTTTGGTCCTCAAGTCTGCAGTGTACCAGCCAAGAGACTCCTGAGGGCAGAAGGCATCTTTGTGACTTCTTCACAGTAAAGATTTAAGCACTGTGTTACTAAACAGAAAGAAAAGAACACCAGCATCGGGCAGGGTATGGTTTGGCTGACAAAGTACTACCTGCTCTTGAACAAGACTCCAGGCATTCAGCTTTACAATCAGAAAATGACAAGCCTCCATATCCCATTATCCTTCTGAAATCTGATACCAATTTACTGCCCAAGGCAAAAAAAAAGTCAACCTCAAGGTCTGTAGATCCTAACACGACAGGGCTCTGAACTTGGTGAGGCTCCCTAGAGCCTGCTAGTTTCATACAGCTAATAATTTAATAAAAGCTGCCTACCACTACCTATTTTTTGCCTCTGGAAGCAGTTGGAGAAACCAATGGCTTCTGTAATGTTTTCCCCCTTTTTTCTTTGTTTTGGACAACAGACTTTTGGCAGAACAGAGATAAGGGATGGGATTTTCACCAGGATCATGACCCAGAGCTGAACAAAGAGAAACGGGAAGAAGTAGAGGAAGAGATCAGAGTGCAGGTGTGCTTGCAATAGTAAGATGACACTAATAATGTGCATTGCCTGTGTATATATTTCTCTACAGCTGTAAGAACTGGTCCTGGCATAGACCTTGCCTCCTCCCAGAGTCCCTGCTAGCTGTTCCTTTGCTTTTTCACTTGTTTAGCCAAACATTTGTCTGAGGTGTGGTGGCAGAACAGAAGCCTTAGAAAGATTCAGCTGTGTTTGTCTGGACAGGTTGATGAATTAATGCAACAGAAAGTGAAGAACCTCACACTAGCTGTGGATGGAAAGAAGAGTGGGCAAAAGAAAAAAGGAAGGAAAAGTACAAAGGTAAGAGCAGCAAGTTTGGAGAATTCTGGGTAAATCCCAATTCTCTACGCAGACAGTGGTATTCAGTGTAGACCCTAGGCTCGCAGACACCAATAACACAGCACCTACCCTAAACACAAGTCAGAAGTGTTTTAAAAAAAATCTATTCACCTGTGGGCTTTTTCAGGGCTTTTTCCTTTAGTTATTATTTCTTAACCTTTATAACTAATGCTTAGGGCAAGCTGAATTATACCAGAGAAATCATTACAAGATAGAACAAATTTTCAAGAAGGATCCACACCCTCTTGAAGTTCTCTGATCCAGTCAAACAGGAAAATCCAAGCAGTCCCTCTCTTTAAGGTGACAGGTTTGGATTAACACAATCTTCCAAGGAAGGCATGGATCTGAGTGCCAGCACGTTTTCCAGCTGCTGTCTGTTTTCCTCCTAAATGAGGACTGGCTAATATGGTTCGAAACTCTACACACTAAAAATTCACTCTGAATGTTTTGGTATAACTTTGAGTACAATGACACATAGCTCACAGCCAGGTACAAGTTATATTGCTACTTGCTATTGAAGGGTTTTGGAACTTGCAATTTAGGCTAAATTTGTTTAGCATATAAAATAGGTTAAAGACATGCATTATTTTTAATGTGTGTTCCCCACTGAAACACAGCACACACCAGATTCACATCTAGTTTCACAGCATAACCATATGCAGAATTTCACAGCTCCCTGATTTCCTTACCCAAGCATTTAAACTACAGATCATGTCAGTGCAAAATATCTCAAAGCCTACAAACCCTACCATTCAATCAGCAGATATGCTCAAAATCCTCAGCAAACAGCCAACACTAATCTCACGTTGTATTTCATTTCTGTAATCCTTTTAGCATGAAAATACTTGCTCTTGCTGTACTTATACTCGAATTATCTTTAAAAATGCTCTTTCACCTGACCAGCATGCAGGGGCAATTTAATGGTACAAGACTGGAGCAACTGACAACTGACACCAATTGGATTGCTAAACCACTTTCAGAAATAGTGGGGTTTAACACATACAGACAAAGCATTGCAGCAATCTTCTCAAAGTTGTCCTGGGCAGGTGCATTTAGATCAGCTGGTCAAAATTGCTTCAAAATGTCACAAAGAAATAATAAATCTTTATGTTAGAGAGTGGGTTTTTTCTTTTTTTTTCTCTTCAATATGGTGTTGGCATAGTTTTGAGCAGAGAGAGGTTATTTAACTTTTGTTTTCCCAAGTTATGCCAGTGGCCTGAGAGAATGGGGGGGAAAAAGAGGAAAGAAGTTCTAATTAAATAATACAAATTCCCTAAAGATTTTATCTGGAAGGAAAAAAAAAGTTCTATTTCAGGGATGGGGAATGACAGGAGGTATCCAGTTTTAGTCAAAACACATCTTCCTTGTGCAAAACTATTTAAAATGTCCAGTTGGCATTGGCAAAGGTTTATTCTAATTAATATTTGCATAAATATCTCTGTCCATAAACTGACACAGTGCACACATACCTTTGCACACAGAAGTCCGATCTGCTTTACTAAGATCTATAAAACTAGAATAATATAAGCTGGAAAGTTCTGGAAGCAGCTTATTAATTTGTTATTCAGCAAAAATCCTCTAGTTTTTCAAGGCATGTGTTACCACATCCCATTCATCTGCAGTGTGAAGTAACAGTGGGTTTGGATTCTCACTGTAGCTGTGAACACCTCTAGAGCACAATGTAAAACTTTTTTTGCCCCCAAAAAGGGATATTCTGCAAAGCAAAGCATTCTTAGGAGGATTCAACACTCTTCCAAGAAACCAAAACTTTTTTGGCACCATCAGTGGGAAATGGACAGCAAGGGTAATTTCTTTAAGTTAACTCTTACAGGTGGCATTTCCTGTCTAGAGGCAGTTACCCAAAATTCTCGATGCCACATGTGGTCATGCTCTCTGTTATAAGAGGAAATTTTTTCTACTGTCTTTGCAGGAAGACACCACAGTATATCTAGGGCTTTTTTTTTTTGTTGTTACTAGGGAATAGTCACCCTTGGGTAGACATCCTTTGCCTTTTCAAACACACCTTAGGATAAGTAGTTTACCACACTAAAAAGTTCTGTCAAGTCTGTATTAAAAATATCTGTCTGACCCACAGGAAATTTGAGATGGAAATCCTATTTGAAAGTTCCTTTTGTGAGGAATTCACTGAAGACATTTTAGAATTGGACTCACAAGGGAAAGTATAAGGAAGCTAATTGCTCCCTTCCAGTCGGTGTTTCAGATGGCTCAGGTCTTAGATAAAACTTAACAGCTCCAGGCATAGCCATCAGCCACTCCTCTATTTCCATGCTATTTTCCATACACTCTAGGCTGAACTTTATTCCTGACTCCCAAACCTTCAAAATACAACAATGCTAAAAGGTGACACTTAAATCCTACCAAGACTCACTATCCCTGAAGATAAAAAGCCCATTATGCCACTTTTGTGGAAGAATGATCTTGGGTGGCAAGGCAAATTGTTGTTCTCATTGCAAACAGGTCTTCAGACCAGTAGGCAAGTCTGGAAATCCTAAATTAGATTGCACCTGATAGGCAACAATACAAACTGCTGTCATTTGAGGCACTGATCGTGTGCCTTATCCACGTGGGAAGCATCTCACCCCACAGACTGGCACCACCTCTGTGCCCTCCCCGCCTGGTTATTTGTCCTTATGGTCCAGCACTGACAGAGTATAAACCAGAAGTGTCCTTGCTAAAAGACATGCAGTGCTGGGCTCCAACTGCTCCTGATCTGATGATGACTGTCTCAGGAAAGGGGACAAGGATAAAACTGAAACAAAGGAATGTGGCTCAGCTCTGCTGCAAATTAAATTTTTCTTGGCTATGTGCAGTGGCAGCTCGTCCCCTGCCCAGGCACGGAGCAGCAAGCTGGGGCTGTAAGCACCAGTGGATAACCACAGAACGACCAGGGCAGCACGGAGTCCCCAGGCAGGTGCCTTTTTATCCGTTAGTCGACCATTAGTTGACATACCTTTTAGGCACAATAAACCCATTTTAACCAGCACGGTGCAGGCCCGTGGGACGCCTCGCCTCCTCTGTTCCCCTGAGTCGCTCTCCCAGAGCCCCTCGCTGCTCCACCCGCGTTACAGGCCGGAGCCGGGATTTCACCAGGCCCTCCCTCACAGAGCTGCACCTATCGGCTAACAAACAGGCCGAGGAGAGGTCTGAAGGGAGAGTGCCTCCTTGTGAGGGATATGGCACTGCTAAGATGGCTGGCAAAGAGATATCAGAGGGTCTAAGTCCCCACCCAGCCCAGAGGAGCCTGTTCTGAAGCACTAAGATTGAAAGATCAGCATTCTCCCAAGAACTCGATTTCTAAGAAGTTGGTGGCATCCTTGTGCCAGCACAAACTTTTTAGTTAAATGTTGTTCTTCTGAGTCCACTCTTTTCTGCTGACAGCCCAAGCTTCTGATTCATGTGGGTCAATACAACCGCCAGCTTTACCAGGATTTATTCTAGATGGATGCCATGTAGCCAACCCTGGCACCCAGAGGGCTTACCAGCCAAGGGTGTTTCGCTTGGGAATCCACAGCCAAGTAAACCGCCACACACCTACCTTCTTTAAACTGGCATTCCACCCAACATAAGAGCTGACAGATCAGCACTCTGCAGTTGCTGACCTGGAAGTTACATTTGAGTGCTTATCAGCGTGCTTTTTATCAAGCCCATTGTGCTGCTTTTCCTGCTCTGCTCCCCCCGCAAGGATTCATTTCCGATCCAACTGAAAGTAAAGCAACTGGTTGCAAGTGAACACACCCACACATAGACAAAGGCATGGCCAGAATTCAGGGGGGAAAAAAAAAAGAAAGAAAAAAATGAAAAGAGGATGTATGGGAACCTAAGTGTGTTCCAGTTGCTTCTGAAAAAGGCCTTGCTCATACCTCAACCCAGCTTTGGATATCCCTTTCTGATGCAGCAAAGAGCCACAAGAGGTTAACTACAGCAACGGCTATGACAAGAATATTGACATCAGTCTGAAGATTCAGTAAGAGCAATGTCATATTAAATAAAGCCTGAAGACACGCTGGGTCAGAATTGTCCCGGGTTTGAGGACAGCAATTCTCAATCCCTGCTGGATTTTCTGTAGCTGATGGAGATTAGCACCCAGAGCTCTCAGCCAGCTGTGGGGGCTGTAATTGCTTTGGATGCTGTAGCTAAATCCAACAGGGATTACAGAGCAGAACCCCCCATTTAGCAAGACCTTAATAATCAGTGGGAACATCTTGGTCTAAGGACTTTTTCAGTATCTTGACATAGCCAGAAAAGACTTCTCTACACAGAACAGATGTGCACACAGTGCAAATCTGCACTTGCTCAGTCTCCCATCCAAACATCACACATGATCCAAGGAATCCACTCAAACACTTCACAGGCTGCTGTTTACACACTGTCATTTCCCCTGCACCACAGGAGTGCTTTCCTCTCGTTACTCTTCCACCTACTCGGTGGCAGTAGCTGTGAACAGCTGATGGCAGCAGGACTTATAGAATCACAGCCAAAGGGTGACACAGATCCTGCAGTTCCAACGTGGAACAGTTCCCTCAATGAGACATTTTGGCTGCCCTTTTCCTTCTGGTGCCAGAGGCAGATTCTGCTCTGGAATCTGGTCTGAAATCGGGTCTGTGTTTGCTTGTAGCAACCTCTGAGCAGCTCAGAACATTTTCATGAGCCCACACAGGAAGACAAGCCACCACACTGAGCACAGAAGACAGTCGTGTGTCATCTGCCAACTAATCGCTAATGGGGTACACTACATGTGCCTTATCAAAGCAGAAAATATTCAAGTAAATGGATGGGTACACAGAAGCTAGACTGACATTTCAGAGCTAGAAACAGGGAGATTTCCATTATAAATGATGGGCATGTTCAGATTCATTAAACATTACCGTTTTCTAAATAAAAGCAGTTCCCAATAAGACATTTTGGAGGAAAGCCATTGTCTACAATTCATATTTCCCCTTATCACATCTCAGTGTTTGCCAAATTTCTCATAAATGCTGATGTTAATTAGAAAAACACATTTTTTCCCCTGCATAGTTCACCAATAAAGTAACTCAAGAGCAAAACAAAAATGAAGCTGCCTTGAGGACTATACCAGCTGGCCAATAAATTCAACATATGCTTAGTGTCTTTACATAGGTAGAAATGAGCTCTTCTTCCCAGTCAGACCCCATGACATGTAATTTCTAGCTTGTTGGAAGAAAGGGTAAGGAGGAACACCAGAATTAAACCTCTGACAGCCTCAGTATTTCCTCAGGTGTTAGAACACCATGGCACATGCTTTGTTCTTCCCATTCCTTTTCTTTAAAAGAAAACCCTACTGGCACATTCTAACAACTATTCACTGCCCAGCTTATTTATGTCAAGAAACCTGACGTGAAAACTTCAAGATATGGAGTAGTTTGCATTGTTCTAATGCAAAACTTAAAGCCATTACCTTTTTCCCATTTAGCTCATCTGTATAGTTATGGGTTTAATTTGCATTTCATCTGGATTATCTTTGTTGCACTGTAAACAGTAACAGGTGATTGATTCATAGGTTATTTACCTTGCAGCTGTCCTTGAAGACTTAGAGTTGACATATTTCTGAACACTGCTGACCCATTGTAGGGGGGAAAAAAACCACACACACCATTTTCCAGATAATGGAATAGGATTTTTTAACAGCATAGCCTCTAGAGCTCTGCAGAAGTATTCACTATTAAAAAAATAAACTAAATTACAGTATTCCCAAGAAAACAAACAAACTTTTGGAAAGAATAAGCTGATCCACTAAGCATTTAAGCACATGCTTAAATTTAAGCTCTTGAAGAAATCCCATGGTGCACAAATGTCTTTGGCTAAATAGTTCCACTGAAGTGATTCTGTAATGTTTTGCAGAACTTAAGAATGGACACCAGTACTGGGCACTAACATGTATTAATGATGCCCTCTCCACTCCTAATTATTCCTAATCACATTTGTGATTTATGATCTGTAATTAATGGAGGAGCTTGATATTACTGATTCACATCTTTCTTACTCATCCTTTCCATAGTGTTTTTTTTTTTTAGAGTATGTAAATAAACTAGCCACACAAGTCATGGTCCCCTCATAGCAGAAATATGAAAATATCAGGAGAAGAGCAGGTCATCTTCCTTAGATGTAGTCTAAATCTTCCTTTCCCTCAGGTCATATTCAAGGCCATGATCTTTCCCTTTGGGTTCCTTCAGTAACAAGGGTCACACTTTGCTTCAGTACGTACAAACATATCTCTGTACTCGGGTCACTAACTCCTGCCTGGTTTTGTGGTCCTCAGGAAATAAAGACAACAGTGAGGAAAAAGATACCTGAGATGGAGGAAGATCTAACTCCTGACAGGTAAAGAGAGGACCTGTTTATCTGAGATTCAAACCATGATACTACATCCTCTTTATATTAGATATGCTGTCAATCCTTTTAGTTTTTAATTATATGAGGAGCATCTCAACACTGCTATGCTTACCAGCATCGGGAGCCCTACAATACATAAAACTTCTTCACTAACATCTACAAATATCCATTAAAAGCCCAGATGTCTTAAAAATTTACAAACGTGAAGCACATACACTTCAGCTAAACCCTTTTTTGCATTCCTGGCTCTTTGAGTGATGGTTTCACAGCACCACAAACAACAGAGTGACAAAGCATGGTTTTAATGCTACAACAGCACAGACCTTATTTCTCCCCATCTGCAACAACGCATACAAATAAAGATCCCCCATTCTGCAACCAGACAGCACTAGGGCCAGTCAACATGAACTTCAGTTGGGTTAACTCCAGCATGCAAAGCTCAGCCTGTGTGGGATATCGGCCCCATTTGCCTCTTTCCCATCTTCTCGTGCAGGAGCACCTGGCAGTTTTGTCAACTATCATATTTTCCATCCTAGCTGAAGCCTGATAAGGGAGGCTGAAAACAGGCCCCTGTATTCTATAAATCACCCCTTGTGTCCATTATATAATGTACACGTCATGAATCAGTCCTATTAGCAGTAAGTGTGCTGACAGAACTTGCAATTTCTTGTGTACCCTTATTTTATTTTGAGGATTCAAGAGGATTTCTTCTTTTGACATTTTCAGTGAGTTCATGATGCATTCATGGATAATCCAGACATTTTTCATCTGTATACATAACAGACACTTTTGCAAAGATGTCACTACTGGGACCTGCTGACTCAGCAGTAGGGCAGAGGCAGACCCAGCTCCCAAGAGAGCAAGGCTGGAGAATGTCAAAGAGTCAAACACACTCAATCACTGCAGGAGGAGGCACATGGGATTCAACCACAAATCCAGCTCCTGAGGGAGTTGGGGTTGTTCAGCCTGGAGAAGAGTAGGCTCTGGGGGGACCTTATAACAACCTTCCAGTATCTGAAAGGGGCCTACAAGAAAGCAGGGGACGGACTGTTCACAAGGGTTTGGAGTGACAGGATGAAGGGTAATGGCTTTAAGCTAGAAAAGGCCAGATTTAGGTTAGACGTTAGAAGTTCTTCAGTATGAGGGTGATAGATCCCTGGAATAGGTTGCCCAAACAGGTGGTGGAGGCCCCATCCCTGGGGACATTCAAGATCAGGCTGGATGAAGCTTTGAGTAGCTTAAGCTAGTTTGAGATGTCCCTGCTTATTGCAGGGGGGTTGGACTAGAAGACCTTTGGAGGTCCCTTCCAGCCCAGACATTCTATGATTCTATAAGACATGCACAGCAAAACATTTACTAGACTGTTTGGTTGCTGGAACTACACAGTCAGTGATCTGTTTACCTCCTTTAAAATAAAACAACCTCTCCAAGCAAATATTTAAATCAAATGATTCATGGATTATAACAGAGCGTGACCTCTCTTACCAGAACAGCACTGAAGTCCAACTAGGACACATGTTCTGTGCTTTGAAAATTACTCTCGCACTTACCTGCTTCTTCACATATACTCTAAACACAACATTCAACTGTTCAAGAACACAAGCTTTTCAGTAGCCAGCTTTTAATCAGAGCTTTTGTGGCATTTTGGCTTTGTGCTTTGTTCTTCCCTGCTGAGGAAGCGTTTCAGAAATAACCAAGAGAAGCTCAGGTTCATCTCTGACTTGATAGAGTGGAGAGGGCACAAGGGGCTTTAGCCAAAGACTGATGAAAAGTAGAAGTCATGCTCCCGACAGAACCGTCAGCTTAGCCCCAGTTCTGCCTTATGCTTGTTTTATGAAGCTTCTCAACATAAAATCACGAAGAATGAAACCAAGAGTCAGGGTAGCAAAATCAATGGTGTTGAAGATGCAATAAATTTTGTATTTGCTTATTACTGCTCCTATATTAATTGTGCCACTAACTGCATAAACATAAAGCTTCCCAGCTGAAATAGAAAGAGGTTGCAGACCTCAGATTATACATATGGTTTTATTATCCAGCTGACAGTTGTTATTAAATATTTTTATTGTAGCCATGACAGAACACCCCAATCAAGACAGGTGGCAAGGACAAAAAAAGCTGATACTGAAGGGAAAGGATGTACAGAGCGCAAAAACAGTAAAAGACCTAAAAAGAATCATAGAATGGTTTGGGTTGGAAGGGACCTTAAATCTCATTCAGTTTCAACCTCCCTGCCAGGGGCAGGGACACCTCCCACTAGACCAGGTTGCTCAAAGTCCCATCCCACCTGGTCTGAAACACCTCCAGAGATGGAACATCCACAACTTCCCCAGGCAACTTGTTCCCGTGTCTCACAACCCTCAGTGTGAAGAGCTTCTTCCTAATTTCTAATCTAAATCTCCCCTCTTCCAGTTTGAAGCCATAACCTTTCATCCTGTCACTACGAGTCCTTCTCCAAAGTCCCTCCCCAACTTTTTTGTAGGCCCCCTTCAGATACTGGAAGGCCAAAATAAGGTCTCCCAGAGCCTTCCCCAGGCCAAACGACAATTCAAACCGGTATTGTTTACACCAACAATACAACAAGAATTTCCAACAAGCTTATTCCCTGAAGAAATCTGGAGAACCCAATGCCAAAAGTGTCACTGAATACTTAGACCATCAGTGGACTACCAGTTGCTATGATCAAGTCATTCCCAATGTGTTCCTGACAAGACAAGGCTGTCTTTTGCAAGCAGAATAAATTCCAAGAATTAATGAATTACTCATAATTGGAGAGCTAAGTGAATAGGTACAGCAATGTTAGGATTGCTATTATTGTATAATTTAGAAATAATTTCCCAGTAATTGATATTAATGAATGAGTCTATTACACAAGTCACAACTGATCTTGCATCACCTGGAAGTGGGTAATGGAACTGGTGTCAGAGGGAGCCACGTGCTATGTGAGGTAATGAAAGATTCCTTGCCATATAAAGCAGAAAATGGCACTTATTGATTGCATATTGATAACTCTAATCACCTTTGCTTCTGAGCTACAAAATATGTTTATAAAGCTGAGGAACCACAAATAACTCTCAAGCTTCTTCAGTTATTGCAGGACTGAGCTTTTTCTTACAGTGCCCTGGAATTTCTGAGTGATGTCTCTTGTCCATAGGACCATCGATTCTCTGTACAGGGAACTAGTGGAAAAAGAACTACTAATAAAAGCGAGGACCGTGAAGCTCTCCGATTATGTTGGTAAAGTACACATTTTACAGCTAACGCAGTGCTTAATCTAACCAAACCTCCAGCCGCTCAGTGTTCACTGACCCCTGTTTCCACTCAAGAGTTCAGGTGTAATTACACTTTCAGGACTTCCAGTCTGGAATATCCACAGCCACGTACGCAAATCAAGCCTGTTCCTGCAGGGGGCTTCGTGCCTTTCGCTTCCTGAAAGCAGGACCTCTTTGTAACGCTGATGCTCAGCTCCAAGCACTAACACCTGGAAGCCTTGAATGGTTTTGGGTGTCAGAAGCCACTCTGAGCTGGAAGCAGGCCATCCTTTAAGGAGTGCTGGCCAGACATTGGCAAGACAGTGCAAGTCTGTCATGGGTGCTGTAAACCATCCAGAGTATTTCCCGGAGAAGAACAGAAGTCATACCTTCAGCATTTGTTCATTCAGACTCACCACCTTTCCTCCACCTCCCCAACTGCCCAGGAACTGCACTTGGAGCAGTGCTTTGAGGCATGTCAGGCCCTTGATTTCAGTAAGATGTGTCTCTGCCTAGGTCTGCATCTCATAGTTCTCTTGCCCAGTCTCTGCTGCCTGCAGCTGCAGCCAGACACACTTGCCTATGCTCTACGCAGAGACAAAAATTAACCAACAAACCACAAACCTACTTACCAGCTGAACAGGGGTATGATAATCTCCAAAATTATTTGGTGATGTACAATAAAATCACAGCAACCCTAGCAGCAAAACCCCCAAGATTCTGTTGTTTCAAAGACCACCATTATTGGAATTCACAGACATCCAGAAGCCACAGTACCACTGGCTTCATTCACCATCAAGGTCACTTTTGTCCAAGAAACATTCCCTACCACAGATGTTTTTAAAGCACATCTTTCCAGCGGATAATAATTAACAGCTGGTAACATCAAACTTGGAAGCAGGCTGAGATGGTTTTTGGGTCACCTTCCCTTGACCCTGAGGTTTGAAGTCTTGGCTCCTCTGCGGCTTCGAGGAACACAAAGGCTGCTCCAAGTTACTCTAACATTCACTTCCCAGCAGCAGAAAATCCTGGGCATAGAGGTGCAGAGCTGAGCAATATTCACCTGGCCGCCTACACTGGTGCCAGGTCCCGCACATGTCCCAGCACAAGTGCTGGCCCACGCAGACCAGGCAGAAAGGAGCTGGCCTAGACTGTCAAAGCCAGCTCTTCCACACTCAACACTCAGTCATGCTTATTGAGTTGCCAGAACAAAATATAGAACGTATGTAAAGTTGGCCTAGGACCTGTACCTAGCTTGCTTTCTTTCAAAATTAAAAAAAAACAAACCTCCCTTTAAGGGTCTAAGGACAGAGTCAAAGCCTGCAGAAAAATAAGTTTTCATCTGCTCAGCTCTTACAGGGCTGAAGTCTAGGGAAGGTCACTGACTCCCAGTTCCTGGGAAAAGGACAAAGAGTGGGATTGTGCTACACAGCAAGTAAAAGCACTGAAATGTCCCCCCTCTATGATAAACTGACATCACCGAACTAATTTTCTTGGTGACCTTATCTAAATTAGTCAGAGAATATCCACTGTGATTTATGTTCAGTTGCAATTAAATCCTTTGATGCCTTCTAATTAAATCTGTGAAGATTAATTCCTATCCAGTTCTTTTGATTTCTCCTTAAATAAAAGATAAAACCTGAAATGAATTTTGTTCTTCAGAGGGGAGGGGGCAGTTGCACCAGGGCTTGTCTGCCTTTTTGCCCCCAAATTACAACTCCATTTTCTCTCTTAACCATCGCTAATTCACCTCAGCTCCAGAGAGCTCTAGTGCTCTCTCATTTTATTTCCAATAAAAGATAATACACTATTATTTTCCAATAATATTCACCATAACGACCTCCAATTTATGCTAAGAAAATAATCATTGACTACATCATCACAAACGGATTTCCTGCTTGCAGCCCATCCCTCTGGATCTTTGTTCTTTTAACATGTCTTGTATATGGGCTTTGACAGGACAAGCGATGTGATTATGGCTCTGTAACAAGGGCTGAGGCAAGATTAGATCTTTTCAGTTGGTATCAGGCTTTTTTTTTTTTTTTTTAAGTTTTCTTGGTTGTTTTGTGGAGGGTTTTTTTTGAACAAAAAAGGTGAACTGCAAAGCAAAGAGCCCCGCCAAATTAGACGAAATACTGAAACGTCTAACACAGTAAGAAGCCCAGATGTGATGCAGCCAGGGGAAAGCTTGTTAAAATACCTTTTCCCCCTTTTTGAAATCCTTTTGATAGAGCGTGGTTCACTGGGATTCCAGCCCTGCAAAATCCCAAATCTAGAAAACGTGTGCCAGCAGTGTGATTTATGGTGCTACTAATGATTCTTCTCCGCAAAGTTTCTTTAAAAGGTTCCTGGAGACAGACTGCTCTGCTGAACGCCTTCCACAGTCTGGAAGGGAAAGCCCACAGTGTCTTTAACTTCATTTTCCTGTGCAGTTCACCTTTCAGACTTCTCAGGGCCACATTCCACAGCAATATCTCCCTGCTTGAGTCCCTGTCCCTTGACAGTACCGGGTTTGCTGAGAACACGTTCTCTTGGTATTCTCTGGTAGTTTTTCATTACTTGAGTTATGTATGTTATAACAATGCAGTGTCACATTTATTAAGCCTGTGCTTCCTCCCTACAGGCGAGTACAACTACCTGGGGAGCAGCCTCCGTCAGGCAGGCGTAGAGCCCGTGCCCTCTCTCACAGATGTCAGGCAGCTAATAGCACTGTATGGGATATTGCCATTAGGTAAGAGCACAGCAAAAATTACCAGAGGGCAGAACGCAACGGCTTTGCTGCCCGTCAGTACTGCGCCTGGTTACTGGCTTTGACAGGGCTTGATTAATCGTAATCTAGAGCATTTTGTGGTATAATTGTTTTTCAATTAAGCCTTCTGAGTGAAGAGCGTGTCGTTTTAATAGTGCATAAAGGAGCTTGCAGACACTATTGTCAGGTACCGCGCGTCCACACCGTCCTCGCCTGCGCGTTAGCAGTTTGGGAATGGCAGCACATAAAAGGAAATCACTGGGGAAAGATAATAAGTAAAACAAGCTCCAGTGATCAAAATTAATCAAGTTAAGTGAAGGGCTAAGGTTGCAATTTACCTTTTACAAGCTGGCTATTGTTACTCAGCACTAAACAATGCAATCATTTAAGGAATTAGTCTGAATACATTTTGTACATCAGAGAGAACACTTTTAAATGCCCTTGCAGTTTTAATGCCAGACTTGGCCAACATCTAAGAAAGGTTGTTTGCTTTTAATGTAAAATCTATCCCGTATTTTACTCAGGAATGGCACTAAGCCAAACTCCAGCAATTGCAAGAAGTGCCTGTCTCGAGGGCCTCTCCTCATACTTTGCTCACATTCTTTTCCATTCCCGACTGGTTTTGGGGAAGATTTTTAACTTGGCACATCCTCCCGCAGGCTGTGCCATTGCCTGCTGATCCCCTCCACAGGGCAAAAGAGGGGACCTCTCCCTGCCTCCCTTCCTGGCAACAGGAGCAAAGCTGACACAGAGCTGCTGCCTTTCCCTCCCCTTCGCACACCCTCCAGAAAGACCAGTGCTGGGGCTATTCTGTACATACATGCTCCATGGCTCTCCTCAGGCGTTTCCCGGCTCAGTCTCCCCCTGAAGCATGCTCCGTGTGCTGTAGAGTTTGATGCAATAGTGCACAAGTCTGCTTCATTCAGGTTTTGGCTACAGAAGGGTGCTCCTGACACCCTACAGCTCACCCTGAGAGTCAGGTTAAAAAACTGTGCTCGCAGCACCCCTGCCTTCAGACAAGCTGTGGCTCTTCCCATCTAAAACACCCTCAGCTGTTTTGGGGTAAACCCTCAGGGGTCAGCTGGGAGTTTGACCACAATCTGCTGAGAGAGCTCAGCAGTTCTCCTCGAATGCAGTGTGGTATTTCACATAGCAGATAACTCCTCCAAGGTTATGTTTTAACACCATCTAATCTAGTGAAATCAAGCCTCAAGACACCCCCAGGGCAAGAGAAAAGAGAACCCATGAATTTTCTACCATTTATACAACTGGCAAAAAGTTGAAGAATCCAGGGAGAAAAGACCCTGGACCAGTTAAAGTATTTGCAATAGCAGTTGGAAAAATGCCTTTTATTAAAAAAAAAAAAAAAAAAAAAGATAAATACTGCATGAGACAAAAAAACACACAGGAATGTTTTCACCTTCTGGGTGATATGTTCTGGTTGACATTTTATTTAACTGGCCTCAGAACTAGTTAATCACTATATAATTGTGTATGTGTAGAAGTGCAAGTTTCTCAAAATAGTCACCTGACAGCAAGGAAATCTCCAGGTTCAATGGCAGTGAGAAAATTATAGGTGGCTAAAAGGAGAAATAATAGTAGAAGATATACTTCATCTTTAACCACGGAGGAGTCTGCTGCTCCCCTCGTAATAAATCTATGTGTAATAGTAATAGATTGGTGTGGAACGACCAAATATTAATAAAGCCTGGGTGGCTGACAACTTCACTACATCTTGCACAGTGCTGAAGTAATAGCATTCATCTTAGCACTCAGACCATTGTCATTTATTTGGGATGTTAAACCATTAGATCACAGATAGGCAACCTGGTCAGATTCAGGTTTATACACCATCCTTACCTAGCTGTCCCCCAGGACCCAGAGCACGTTTCCAGGCTGAGCCATAGGTTCCTTCCACAGCCCGTCGCCTTTGGGATAGCTTTCCCCTGCGAGCCCCACAGTCTGACAGACGCCACTCTCAAAACACCTTTGGAAACAGTGCACGCTCACACAGGTTTTCAAATCTGACTTTGGAACAACCCACCACTGCTGACGTGGGACATTTTGGGCATTGAGACAGTGATGTTACTGGACTACCAGTGGGTATGGATAGAGCATATGGTTGACAGTTCCTGCTACTTCCATCTCTGGAGGCTCACCTGTACCTAATTCATACAGTGACAGAGCTGCAGGAAAGACTGCTACCACCATCAGCCACCTAAATCTGCCTCTGCAGTTCTGCTTTCACAATGCAGGCATTTCTGCTAGACTTTCCCAGGTGATGGACCATATTTCTTACAGCCCAGCATGGATTTACCTGGAGCAACCGCGGAGACAGATTTAGAAATGCTGAGCAGTCATTGCTGCCAGCAGAGCAAGTGAAGCATAGCAACCCTGACATTTAAGTTTGCTCACCTGAATAAAATGAAGGGAACAGAAAAGGAACCTCCTTCTCCTAGCAGATATGTTATACCTGCTCTGCAACATATCCAGAAAGGCAACAACAAAGCTGGGGAAGGGTCTAGAGCAGAAGTCTTGTGAGGAGCTGCTGAGGGACCTGGGGGTGCTGAGCCTGCAGCAAAGGAGGCTCAAGGGAGACCCTCTGGCTCTCAGCAACTCGTTGAAAGGAGGCTGGAGCCAGGAGCGGGTCAGGCTCTGCTCCTGACTGCTGAGGGAGGGCAGTTGTCCCTCTGCAAAGCACCAGGCTTGTCTACACAGCCATCAGCAGCAGTTCCATCTTCAGGGCTCTTACCTTGTGTCCACCCACAAAAATTTACTGAGGAAATTCGGCTCACATAGATTTAGAGGTGAAGTTTGCCTGTCAAAAGGTACAAATAAGGGCGGTTGAGTTTTGGTTCAAGCAGGGACATTAACTCAGCTATGCTACAGGCACAGCTCTGATTATACAGAACTCAGCTCAAGAGCAGTTGAGCCATATTAAGGAAACAATGAATTCACATGATAAATTATTTACAGTAAAGAAAGAAGAATGATTCCATTACCTTTATTGCAGACTTAAATGAAAGCAATAATAGTGCCGTATGACTTTTTACAGGTTCCCAAACTGTCCATGAGAAAGCTCCTTTGGTGAAAGCCTTGTTACTAGCTGGACCTACTGGTGTTGGAAAGAAAATGTTGGTCCATGCCATCTGCACAGAAACAGGAGCCAACCTCTTCAATTTATCTGCTTCTAACATTACTGGGAAATACCCAGGCAAGAACAGCCTGCAAATGATGCTTCACGTGGTTCTCAAGGTACTGTGTTTTATGTGCTCTTCTGTACAGAGTCAGCTCAGTTTGTCACATCTTCTGTGGAATCAACAGGGAACTGTAGATCCTTCATACTGAGGAACACACACACCAGTCACATGAGGGCAAAGCTGCCCAAGTTTCAAAGGACTGCCAACCCAGTTTGACATTCCCTCCCTGTTTTCAAGTTTACAAAACACTTGTGGATGGCCAGTGTGTGTACTGCTGAAGAGAATTTAATACCCCTTGAGCAAGCACCATGAAGAAGATGGCTACCACAAGGAATATTTCTGCAAGTTTTGTGTTACCTTGGATATGGAAAGCATCACAGATAGAGAAAATTCTGTTCTCTGTTTATATGTACATCAGTCAGGAATGCTTGTCATGCAGCATTTAATCAAGCACTAAACTAGGGGTGGTCAAAAATGTCCACTCTGGGACTGTTGCTGTAAAAACACTCTCCCCTATACTGCTGTTTACCTCTCAGCAAGCTTTTCAAAAGAGAGAATCCTAGTTCAGGATTACATTAACAGAAATCTATGAGAAGTCTGGAAATGAAAGAAGGCATATGAACTGTGAAGAACATTTCCCAAATCCTCTTCAGAAAAATCGACACTATCCTGGCAGGATTTCTTCCACATTTTAAGACCTCAGCATTTCTGCTAAGGAAGGAAGCTGGTAAACATTTCCAGATGAAATACTCTTAGAAAGAAAAAAATACAGCATATACACTAGGAAAAAGCAAAATACAGTATTTTTCCAGCGCTTGAGGCTTGCTAAAAGACTGAATTCAAGCTGGCTTTCCTTTGGATTTATCAGGTGTATTTTATTAAACCCAGTAATATAGCAGGTTTTGTGACAAGTGCCTCCATCCCCAGAAGAGACAGGTTTCTCAGTTAAAAGCAGTCCCCAAGGACCTCATTTCTAGCCGGTCAGAGAAGCGCCTAAGGAGAAGCATCAGTGCTGTGATCACGCACCTTTGATGCCTTAACAGGAACACTGGGTCTAGTAGTCCCTGACACAAGCTAGTGCCGTTAAACTGAGCTAGTGCTCCCTCTGCTCTGCACATCTCACCCTTCTGCACCACGCTCCTCTGTGCTCAGCAGCAGCAAGGCACACAGCTGGCCGCAGGCACAGCACACATCCTCTCCATCATTTAGCCCCTGCTGGAGCACAAGGCCTTTAAACGCCTGAGCAAGGCAGGCAGCCTTTTCTACTTGGAGAGAAGGCTCCACCTGAAGAGATTTTTTTTTATAATATACATGTGTATATATATAGCATATACAGTAATTGGGACATACATAAAAGGTATGTGCGTATCTACACACATTAGATACGTAAGCACATACACGCACATACATATGTGTACTTAAGTGTAGCTATAGGTGTATCTACAGCACAAGTCTGGTGAGGAGCAGCTGAGGGACCTGAGGGTGCTGAGCCTGGAGCAAAGAAGGCTCAGTGGAGACCTTCTGGCTCTGCACAGCTCCTGACAGGAGCCTGGAGCCAGGTGGGGCTCGGGCTCTGCTCCCAAGGAACAAGTGACAGGACAAGAGGAAACTGCCTTGACTTGCACCAAAGGGGTTTAGGTTGGCCATGAGGAAAAACTTCTCTGAAAGGGTTGTCCAGGCCTGTCCCAGGCTGCCCAGGGCAGTGGTGGAGTCCCCAGCTCCTGGAGAGGTTTAAAAGCAGTGGAGATGTGGTGCTGAGGGACCTGGGGCAGTGGTGACCTCGCAGTGCTGGGGGAACAGTTGGGCTTGATGACCTTAAAGGTCTCTTCCAACCAAAATTATTTTTACATTTCTATATAAAAGCACATTTTTCCACATTATGTAAGATTAAATGGAAGCATTATCCAACACCTCCCCCCCCAGAATCACGGGGAGCATTCCAAGCTTACTTCTCTACTGTAGCTCTTACAAAAGCTGTCAGAAATGACACTTTGGTGAACCTCTGTGAGTTACTGGGATGGAAGTTCCTCCCACTCAATCACATGGAATAAGTTCTGTCCAGGCACTTGCTTATCAAAAGGTGACTTGTTCCAACTGCAACAGCAGTACTACTTCAAATTCTGCTCCTTTAACATAGCAAATGGCCCAGCACAGAGTATCTCTCTCCAAGAGATAAATCATCTGTGTGCTCATTTCTGTGCAAGCTCCTATTGACATAGCACCAGCCTTCAAATCAACTGTGTGCTATTTTCGGTCCCAGTTCCTTTGGTTCTTTCACCTCTCCCTGGCATCTTCTGTCTGCATGGCTCAGTCACTGGCTTGTCCAATCTGCCTGATGATTTTGACTCAGATTCTGTAAGTTCTCAGAGCCAGGCTGGAAGCAATCCTCCATCCACACAGGCTCTCACCTCTGCAGTTCTAGTCCCTCTTATTATGGTCTTCACCATCTCAGATGTGGCTCATTTTCCCTGTCTCTGGGAACTGTCAAGTCCCTGCCACAGCCACCATTCATCCTGTCATGAGTTGCTGCTTCTTTACAACATCCATTGCTCCCAGCCAGCATCAGAATCGCAGAATCATTTTTGTCAGAAGAGACATTTAAGATCATCAAGTCCAATTACTCACTCTGCCAGGACACCACTAAACCATGTCCCATGTCTCTCAGCACCACATTTCCATGGCTTTTCAGTCTCTCCAGGGATAGGGACTCCACCACTGCCGTGGGCAGCCTGAGCCACGCCTGGACAACCTTCGGGGAAAAAGAAATCGTTCCTCTAGTCCAACGTAAAGCTCCCCTGGTGCAACTCAAGGCCATTTCCTCGTCCTGTTGCTTGTTCCTTGGGAGAAGAGCCTGACCCCCACCTGGTCCCAGCCTCCTGTCAGGAGCTGTGCTCAGGGCCAGATCTCCCCTGAGCCTCCTTTGCTGCAGGCTCAGCACCCCCAGCTCCCTCAGTCACTCATTGTAAGGAAGATCTAAGATGAAGTAACTCCATGCGACGGCACAGAGGTCCAGGCTGTGCCCTGCCCAACCACACAGCAGCTTTGCACTAAAGTACCAGGGGTTCTTAAAGTTAGCAAGTTAAACACAAGTCAACAGCACATCCATGCAGCAACGTCAGACAAGTACTGAGTTAGATCAGCAGGAGTATAGCCTCTGAAATCAATTATTTCCCTGCTATTTGGCACTTACGAGACCACAAGCGGACAACACTGTGCCCAGGACCGGGCTGCTCTGTTACAAGACAGGCACTGACAAGTAAGCAGTGGAGAGCCACGAGGATAGGGGCGCTGCAGGACACCAGGCGAGCTGGACAAATGCAGCTGTTTCAGCCCAAGGGAAGGCTGGAGTGAGAGGGAGCTGAACTGAACTGCTGCTTTCAGGGGTTTCGTGGGATAATACAAAGAACAGAGCCAGGCTTTTCAGAGCTGCACAGTGGTAGGAGAAGAGGCCATGTTCACAACATGCAGCAAGGGAAAGTTTGTACGTTAAAGGAAAAGCTTCACAAGGAATAGAAGGACAAGGAATCTTTTCTATCCCAATTTGCAGGAAGCTAGTCTGTTACCCAAGCTGAAGCAATGCAAGGGCAATGCACATTGAAAACAAATTCCTTGCCAAGAGGAAGCTGAACACTGCTATTTGTCCTAAAATGTTTATTTTTCACTGTGGTAAAAAAAAAAAAAAACTGTAAGAGCTTGGTATAAGCATATTTAGATTACTGTAGGACTACCATATACAGCAGCACACACAGCAGACAAGCCATGAAAGCAAATGGCACCTTGCAGCTGACTTGGAGTATTTAATATTCACCACGCGCAGCCTACCCTGACACACCACAGAACACCTTGTTAAAGTGCCTCGCCTGCAGATGATCCCCGAGGGATTCACCACGTCTCCACAATCAGGCACTTCTGGTCAGGGTTTTTGTGCAAACAGCAACTGTGACTGTTGTCAAGCAAGCTTTTTGCTCCAGCTTTCCAGAAGGGTCTTTACATAGAGTTATTCAAGCAGAGTACAGACCATCTCCTTAACAGCTGTACAGGAGTGACAGGAAACATGACAGTTCTTTTTCTGTTATCTTATGATCCATGTAACCCTAGTTAAGAACTGAGATTTAGTACACAGGAATGGATGATGCTCAGTAATAAAGCTGCAGTGACCTTGCACTTCTGATTATCACATCTGCAAAGAAGAGTTTCTGTAATGAAAGGAAAGTGGAAAGCATAAAATGACCATTAGGAAACTTTCTGTCCGTAACTGTTGGCTTCTGGCAGTGGTTTTGTGGGAGGCACTGTAAACAAGTGAATAACGTTTTTTAAAAAAAGAAGAAACTTTAATTTGTTGCAGCTGCAAAAGGCAAATTCTTTTTTCCCCTCCCTTATTTCAGGGAGGAAACTTGCAAGAGACACCAGCCCTAATCCAAAAAGAGAGGCTTGTGTGTTACTCAAAGCAGGCATTTTAAATGTCATATGGAGGAAATGACTTCTCATACCAGAACAGGAAAACACCAACATTTCCATCTGCCTATTCAAGGGAAATAAATGTAAGGAAGATTAATACTGAATAGGAAAAAGCTTAAAAGAAGCTGCAAGCACCAAGCCCCAGCACTTGTGCTCCCCATAAAGACAGAGCACAGCCTGCCAGGTCAGCCCTGCTTTGGAGTGAAAAGAGAGGATCTGTCTCTAATACAGAAGCACTTCCCAGAAGCCCCCAAACAAAACTCATCCTTCAAGCCTGAATCACAATGTGCTGGAATATTTCACTTCAGCCACATTTTCCATGGACTGAGCCAGCCTGAACTCAGCAGAGCTCCCTGCCAGCTTGCACTGACCGATGGCTTCGCTCTCCCGTGTTCCCATCAAGGCACAAAGCACTGCTGCAGTGAACAGCTTTCTGTATGTGCCTCATACGTATGCTCAATGCTTATAAACACCTGAAGGGCAGTGTCAAGAGGCTGGGGCCAGACTCTTTTCAGGGGTGTCCAGCAGCAGGACAAGGAGCAACAGCCACAAACTGAAACCCAGGAGGTTCCACCTAAACATGAGGAAAAACTTTTGGTGTGAGGGTGCCTGAGGCTGGCCCAGTCTGCCCAGAGAGGTTGTGGAGTCTCCTTCTCCGAAGGAGAGATTCCAAACTGGGTTAGCTGGATAGCACCCTGCTGTGGTGACCTGCTGGAGCAGGGGGGTTGGACGAGATCATCTCTGTAGAGGTCCCTTTCTACTCCTACCATTCTCCGATATAGAAGATGTAAAGAAGGATATGGAAGGATGCATAGAAACAAGGACAAATGCAGAAAGTATCAAGGACAGAAGGTAGAGCGCATGACTGTGACACAGTGTAAAAATGCAGGTAGTTCATAAGGCTGAACTCCAAGGCAATAAAAACAAGTGCTGGCCTTCCATTAGCAACCATAAGGCAGCCATCAGGTTAATCACTAGCAGAGTGAGACAGCTCCTCTCGAGTCCTTCACTGGGACTACAGCAGCACACAGAAAGCACATTGTACCAAAACCCACACATGGGAAAATGTTATTAGTGCAACACTGACCAGGCTAAAAGGTTGGGCAAGAGGTGACCAGGAGGAAATACCAGCAGAGAAGTCGTGTGTGCGTGTGTGTGTGTGTATCAACAGCTCAAATGTGTGCTGTGCAGCCATCTCCACTGAACTGGGAGTTGTATTTCTGCAGCTTGCTGCTCTCTATTTCAACACCACTGCTGTTGGGGGACTCTTATCAGGCTCTGTGGTTATGCTATTTAGCAAGGCAGAGGTGACTATAACAGTGTTATACCAAAAAAGGAATACACAGTTGATTTAAGATTAAATTATACAATCCCAGCATTTAAAGGCAACATAATTTAAGTCTGTCATTCTTTTTTTTCCCCACTGAATCCTGTTCATTTATTTGAAACCACTGCTGTGTTGTCCTTCAAACAGGCCTTTTTTGCTGGCAATCTGAAGAACCAGCTACACTTTACCCCAATACACTGACAGAAGTGTCTATTTAGCATTTCCATGGCACACAGGGCTCTTCCGTTGCAGCTGAAGTTTGGGAACAGTACAGTCAGCCTTTCTTCCAGGCATCCCAGAGCAATACTTTTCTCTTGGTGCAGCTCAGCCTGCTAGAAGCATAGACCCTTGAAGCATTAAAAATCACCAGTGCTCAAATATACACTTATTTCTGTGTTACTTTACACTGTGTTACTCATATCAAAAAAAATGAAATGCAGCCTGTTGGAAGAAAGTATTTATTATTTTATAGCAAACCAGAATACAGCAGCACCACTGTAGCACTGGAATATCTGCCTGGTAAATCATCTAATCCCAGGTCCTCAGCATCTTGCTGCTTCAGCTGCTTTGAAGCATTTCTGTGAATGGAACTAGAGTGTTGGCCAGTTTTCAGAATAGCTTGAGCTCTCAGAAAAACTTACTCTTGGGCCTTTTAAAAAAATTCCTAAGCCTTCAAGCTTGGAGGAGCCTTGTGCCCATGGGCAATGCAAGAATCAAGTTTCTGCGTTTCCAAGTGTAGCCATTTAAATGTTCAACTCTGGTTCTCAAGTTTGAAAAGTTTAACCCAAGGCTTTCAAAAATACTGTTTGATCTCTGATGAATGTTGACAGACAGCAGGTCAAGAAGGTTTTTCTCATCACAGTTTTCCCGAAGTGCCAATCATGCCTCGGTGACCCATCGGAGCGTGGACTGTGGAATTAGGAGGGTTAAGGAGCCATCTGCTGGCAGCTCACACAAATTGTTGAATGCAGCAAAGCTAATAAAATTTCAATTACAAATTAATTATGTACAGTGCATTTAATTATCCATGGATTCTAACTGTCCATGGATAATTCAAATGAAGCACTTTCACGGCGGATATACAGCCTGCTATGTATCTGCCAACAATTTAAATTAGACGCTGATGGATTCTGGGTGTCTGATCTGTCTTTAAAAACAGAAAGAATAAGGTCCAAACACAGTGTGTGTTGAATTTTCTTGTATTAATGTATATCAACACCATAAAAATACATACAGGCCACTTTATATGCATAGATCATTGCCTCCAAAGAATGCAATTGAAAGTATCTCCTTAAGACATTAGTCTGGCTCTTTTTATTTCCACTTAGTAGGGAAATAAAGGGGACAAAAAAGATGCCAGGTATGCCAACAGTGAGTATTCTTCCTTAAGAATTAAGATGAACCCATAGTCTAATCTAAAACTCAAGGCTTCATTTTAGAGGGCTGCTAACCACAGAAGTCATCTGTGAGCCAAATGGGGAAGATCTGCATCTCCCTGAGAGCAGCAGCCCTGCTGAAAGGACAACATGGTTCCCTTTGAAGTACACAATCACAGTTCAGCCATTGCCAATGGCTTTTATAGCTTCTGTAACCTCCCCTGCCCTTATTTACCCTGTCACATCCCACTGCAGCCTGAGACACAGGGGTATGTTGGATCTATTGCAGAACAGCTGCACACTCCTCAGGCTTACACAGCTTGCAAAGAAGATGTACTAGAAGGCAACTGTTCTTAGGAAGCAAACACACAGCACCTCTGACGGTGAACACGAGTGGAGTGAAAACAGCACAACAGCAAATGCCACAGTGACAGAGTATCAGGGTGGTAATATGTACACACAGTCTGTAAGCTTGAGCAGACAGCATGCCACCAGCCCAGTCTTCAGTCAGAGTTCAACTCTCCCACTGTCTCGTCTTCCTTCTGACATCCTTTCCAGGCATGCACACAGCAGGACTGAAAATGGCAGATATTATTGATGTACAATTTTAATCTGTCATTTTGTTCAAGCTTGTATATTCAAACACACTACTGCTGGATCGAAGTTACCCCTCAAGTTGTACACCCAGATGAAGATTCATATAACTCCCTAGGTGCATACATCAGTTTCTGCAGGATTCTCATATTATCTTTCATGATGGTTTTTTATCATAATAAAAATTTTTAAAAATAAATATTTGAGATCCTGCCTTCCAACAAAGGAAAACGTCCAGATTTCCTCAACAAAACTGTTTTGAACTTGGAGGTAGCACTTGACATTCTAGGACTGAGTTACCACAAATAAAGTGTTACATGCCAGAACACTGCATTGTTTCCACTTCATCCCATCAGCAGCAGAGCAAACAAGTTCAACAGCCTTCATCTGCTATTCTTTTCCCCTCTCTTCAATCCATTTTTACTGTACACACGTACATGCTTTGTGCTTCTGAAAAGCATCCATAAAAATGAACTGTGGTGCTTTGAAGATGTTCATGACTTAATTCTTCCCACGATGGCTGTCAGTCAGACACTGAGCTTATGATGAATACAACCTACTGATGTTGTAAGCTTCCTTCCTGGAAGCAGCATCTCCAACAAAGGGAAAAATGAAAGAAATGAAGCAGGACAGCAGAATGCCATCTCTCTCGTTACCCATTGACTCCTCGAGCCATCACTTTTGTCACTGAGCAAACTGGCATGGCTCTAAGAGCCACTGGAAAGGGTTTAAAATTTGGCAGCAGAATGCCTAAACCACTGGTGTTTCTATAGCAATAGGGAGAGTGCAAGATGTGAAAAAGCCTGTAGCATTGCTGCCATCCTGCTGTGAACCAGAGGTATAGTGCCTCTGACTTTGGAGCCAGAAAACCCATTTGTAGTGGCCCCACCATCCTGCCCCCCCTTCGAATTTAACAGGTTCCATTTTAATTCTTGGACTAACCACAAATTAAACACTATTTTGTAAGCCAGAAGGTTGCATATCAGCCTGTCCTGCTTACAGATCAGTGCCCTCATTTCTCAGGCAGTAGCTGTGTCTTGCCTGTCTCCCCATCTGTGTTGCCCTTGGAAAGCCAAGGAGGGATCTTACAGGCAAGGGCAGCCAGTCTAAAGCTGCTGGTGGTCTGTCGTTTGCCATGGAACAAAAATTCCAGGCTTCCTTTTGCAGAACTGCAACTGAATTTGGCACCAGAAATTAAAGATAAGCATAGCAGTCAAAATAATCCAATTCGAGTTGGGTTTTTAATGCTGGATTCCGAACTAGAAGTGATTTGATTGCCAAGGCTGCTGAACAGAGCCAGTGCTACCCGTTTCTGGAAAGAAAAAAGCACACTAATTTTAACTACTGAAATATGGATTCAAAAGCATAATTATGGGCACCCAGGTAGGAAATTGGAGCTGTTTTAATCAACTTCTTGACTTCTCTTCCCCCATTTTCTCTTAGGTGGGTAAGCAATTGCAGCCTTCGGTCGTGTGGATTGGAGAGACAGAAAAAATATTTTCTAAAGCAGTGCGAAAGGCTGGAGGAGAGGTGAGTTGCTCCTTTTTTATTCCAGTGCAGATAATCTCTCCTGTTGCATTACAGCCAACACAAAGGAAAAAGTATATTTCTTAGCTTAGCACATACCAGTATGACCAGACCTGCCAAAGCTTGCTTGATAATAGCTTGTCTCACTAACATTTTTTTCTTTTAAGAGAGTCTTGTGACTTCTTAAGAGCCCCCAAGAGGTCACATTTCTTTCCCACACACCTATGCTTGCTTTATTTAAAAATAGTCCAGTCACTGCTCATCAGTGCACTGAAAAGTAGAAGAGAATAATGGAGAATTTCAAAACATGAGGCAAGAAACTAAAAGTTAAGATGAGCTTAAATTGTTCAGCTCTATTAATTTGAGAAATTGGATGGAGCCAAAGTGAACAATAAAGCAACAAGGATAAATTTCCACTGTGAAAACAAAGATCCTATGTTAAATAGTTATGTTTACAGTTTATTTTCTCCATGCTCCCAGGAGTCCTATTGCCTCTGCTTCCATTCCTGCCTCCCTTGTGCAGCTTCCCCACTAGAAAGAAAATTAAAACACTACCAACAGGCACAGCAACTCAGCCACTACAGCAGAGAGCAATTCACCTGAAATCCTGATCAGATTCATGCTGCTTGCAAAATATTTTACTTTTAGAGCCCCATGTGAAAAAATAAATTTTTCTTAAGGTGAGTCCTGTGCATTTAGGCTGTGGTACAGACACAAGCCTGTATTTTAGAAGACCAATGGAGCATCGCCTCAGATGAGGCTGCTACTTCTCCGAGGGCCGTGTGAGCTGATGGCTATGTGGAGCTTGATGCCTTCTAGTGGTCCCCACACTGGGAGGGGACCTTTCCCTTGGGCTCAGACCTCAATGGCAAGTGCAGGTGGGGATTAATATTGACTAGGAGCCAAAGTTTGCCTGGAGTACTCATCATTTTTGTCTGCTTTGATAGCCACCAATAAGGAAATATGTCTCCTCAAACCCACCTCAGAGACAGGAGTATCACCTCTGCCCCTGCTATCGCATCCTGAGACCTGCAGGCATTCAACAGAAGGTCTTGTGTTCTTGGGGGAGTGGAAATCACTCCTATCCCACACAGCTCACAGCATAACCCATATTTGGAGCCAGAAAGCATGGAACAGGAGGGACAGGCAGTGGTAACTGGCAGCCTGAGGAGACTAGGATTTTGGAGAAGATGAGCTAAGCTCAGCCCTCAGAAGACAGAGTGGAAGTCCTTTGTTCATCCCATTTCTGGGATAGTTCCAGCAGCATGACAGAGAACTTGGTAAAAAGAAGCCTTAAATCCTTTGAATACCTATGAGACAAGCAGTCTCTCTTCAGTCCTCCCCAAAGGATGCAAACCAGTCAAACATCTGTTATAGTAAACCCATCTGCCAAGGGTGATGTGCAAGCTGTTCGGCCACCCGCAGTTAAATAGGGGTCACCTCCACAATTCACCCCACTTTCTCCAGCTCAGTGCCACAGGGTGGCCAGAATCACAGCTTGCCTCTTCAGCAGCCCTTCTTGCTGCTGATGCTTCTTCCAAAGCAGAGGAGACGTTATTAGCTTCAGGACAGACCCCTGCAATGTGTGTGCTGTGGACACATCGGTGTCACAAGCATAACAGGAGCTACTGACACAGAAGGACCCATCTGGCTGAGGAGGCTTGACATGAGTGGAGTTTACCTTTGTCTCCAATGCTGGTTCAATTATTTAATATTTTAAAATTAAGATTCTTACAAGCTGAGCAATGAACACTTGTTGTAACCCACTCCAGATCAGTGGGCATCCATGAATATCATTAGTCACCTCCCAAAAAATAGTGTTCTAAAAGTAAGGGGTAAATTAGGGCTTATTTTCATAAGCAAGACATGAAATAGGAATCAGACGATTGCTTTAAAAATTCTCTGCATCTCCTGACACAGTCATTTCTTCCAACAGAAGATACACTGCAAGCCTAGAAAACACCATGTCTCACCTGAAGCAACTAATATCTTCTATTAGTCCTTTCAGGGAGATAGGATTCCTCTACCTCCCCCCACTCAAAAATAAAATTTGGTAATTCTCACTTTTCTAGCAACACTGATGTCTCGCAACATCTTAGAGAAGATTTTACTCTGCACCAATACACATGAAAATGGAGAAATCTTGAAGATGAGTGGCAACAGATGTGTAATCAGAGAGAGTAATTTAGGCAGCATAAAATGTGTTAAAACCAAAAGTAAATCCGTATTTCAGTCACTGCTGTGACCAGATGTCAAGGTGTCAAGACTGGCTAAAACTTCCAAGGTAGTTATATAACAGTAGCTTGTTTAATCATCAGAGAAGCCAAGTTCATTACCAAAAGCTTCTCAACAAAGGAATGGCAAAGTTTGGGTAAGAGCCTGTGATTTGAAGTCATGCCCTTAGACAGTAAACATCCATATGGACAGAGACATCCTTTCTTTCAGAGCAAAAGGCCAAGACTTCTCCATTGCTCCAGGGCAGACCTACCACAGTGACAAGACACCATGTTCTTTGGGATCAAGTACAGGCATCCCACTGTCCTGGCAGCATTGTGCCTTGGCACAACAAGGAGAGATACAAAGATGGCAGCTGGCATTGAGTGATGGCCATAGGAATAGTTCATCAAGAGCAAAATCATGAGCTGGTGTGTCATCCTGGCAAGCAACATGCCCATGCTCCAAAGCAGGACCTAAGCCCTAGTGCTAAAGATCTACTCAACTTGTGATAAAGCAATTGGCAAACATAGAAAGATGTTTAGTATGACCATGAGAATAAAAAGAATAAGAAAATAGATGTGTTGTAATTAAGACAAGTTTAACTAGAAAATAACTGTGACTCTACCCCAAGATTTTTGTAATTTCTTACTGATTTCCCAATTTCCCTGCTCCATAGTGTTTACTCCAAAGAACAGAGCTTTGTCTCCTTTCTATCAGCTGTCTGATACTGCAGACAACAGAAAATTTGGATCACAAAAATTGAACATCTGGTGTAGGTTCACAGGGGTTTATTGTTGCCTTTCAGCTGAGAAGGGCTGCAGGACATAAATAGTTTCTTCCTTATTGACATTATGGAAACCTGATTTGAAGATGAAGCTGAGGTTTCTCAGGGAGCTGCCTACTATATAGTTAAAAAAAAAAGTGATCTGTAGAGTCAAATTTTCAAGTAAGTGCTGGTAAAAGCTCCACGGAGACCTTCTTGTGGCCTTCCTGTAAAGAGGGCCTGTCAGAAAGCTGGGGACAGACTTTTGAAGAGAGCCTGTTGTGACAGAACAAGGTTTGGTGGTTTTAGGCTAAAAGGGAGATTGAGACTAGAGAGAAGACAGGCATTTTTCACTATGAGGGTGGAGAGCCCCTGTCCCAGGTTGCCCAGAGAGGTGGTCGCT